GACGTGAAAAGATTTAAAGGTTTTATTTTGCTTTTCAGGCAATTAAATGGATGACGGACCTTGTTTGTATAAATCATTATTGAATACATTGATATTCAATAGGTGGCATAATCCACTTTCGGAAAGAAAATCGTCAAGGAGACTTTTGAACCGGGTTGTAGTTTCACTGCAACGGAGGTTCACTGGCAGTCTGTTCCACATGGTTGAGTAACGAATAAGGAAAAAATTCTGACGTAAGTTTGTGTGGGTTCTTGGAATCGCTAGAATATTCTCTTTATTGCGTAGATTGTGGGACGATATTATAAGGTATGAAGGGGTAGATACCGATGAGTAGGAAATACCGTTAATGAGCCGGTAGATAAAGACAAGATTTAATTTGATACGTCTGATCCAAAGAGGTTCTAAGTTGAGTTGTTGACATCTTTGGTAGTAGTCTTTGTTATCGGAATACCCCAGGACAGCTTTAGTGAACTTTCTTTGAATACCTTCAAGTCTAATCAGGTCATTGTGTCTGCAATTACTGTAAACTAAAATACCATATTCAAGAATGGGCAAGACACATTTTCTGTATAGTAACAATCTCGATTCGATATTATTGAAGTTTATCATTATCAATTCGATGAGCTTTCTAGCTTTGGATACTTGAGATATAATGTGTTCAGAAAAGTTCAGACTATTGCTATATCTTAAACCCAGGTCACGAACAGTGTTGAGAGGTTTGAGTGTATGTGTCTGTACATTCAGATTTAAGTTAAGACAGCGACCAATGTGAATAAATCCGCTTTTGTCAACATTAAGTGGCATATTCCACGAAATAGTCCATTCGTACAACTTGTTTATTTCCTCCTGGATTATCGCAGAAATATAGCTTTCTTTCGTGGGAGAAGAGAATGAATAAACTACTTTCAGGTCATCAGCAAAAAGGAAAGGCTTACCATACTGAAAGAGGGAACACACATCATTGATAAAAAGGAGAAGGAGCAATGGACCAACCACACTTCCTTGTATAACCCCACTGATTACATTTACAGGTTTAGAGTAGCAAGATCCAAAGCGAACGATTTGGCTACGTTCTTCTAAAAAAGATTTGAGCCAAGATAAAAGGGGATTCTGTATGCCAAATGAAGAGAGTTTTAAAAGAAGAAGTTTGTGTGAGACACTGTCGAAAGCTTTACTAAAATCGAAGTAAAGAATTATCACTGACTGACCAACATCTCTTCTCTGGGTAATTTGATCAAAAAACTCCAGGTGCGATGTGAAACATGAGCGTTTAGTCATGAACCCGTGTTGGGATGGGCTGATCAGACTAGCTGAAAGTAAAAATGATAGTAGCCGTTTGTGGATGATTTTTTCCATGGTTCTTGAGAGCACGGATGTCAAATTAATTGGCCTATAGTTAATAATATCACTACGTGGTCCTGTTTTGAATCTAGGAGTGATAAGGGATGTTTTCCATGCAGATGGATAGGTCCCATATTCCATAGACAGATTGAAAAGTTTCAAACAAAATAGTGGAAATTCTTTACTTCCATATTTCACAAATGATGTAGGTATCCCGTCAGGTCCACCATCATAAGTCTTTTTCAGGGTAGTTATGGCCTGCTTGATGTTGGAGGGTGTGAAATCAATTTTCGACAGATGTCTGGATGTTAGCATTGGAAATGAAATGATGGAGCTTTCAGTTCTAGTCTTGTAACACTGCGAGAAGTGCTTGCTGAATTGTTCGCATATAGTATTCGGGTCGTTAACAATGCTTCCGTTAACTATGAAGAATTTGGTCGTGCCAAGGGAATTTGACTTTACACGGGATTTAAAAAGTCGAAGTATTGTTCATTCTGGGCTTTTACTACGTAGAGCTTTATTTTCTATATTCATGAAATACTTATGCTTAGATGAAGCATTTCTGTCGATTAATTTAAGTATACTCTGAAGTGCATACACATCATTCTGCTCATAGTAGCGGTATTTTAATTTCCTCAGCTTTCTTTTAAAAGTATTTTGGCCCCTATTAGCATTATAAGCCACACGGCCAATAACTGGAGCAGTGCAGTCAAGACAATATATCAGGTTGTGATATAGATTGGAAAGCGCAATGTCAACATTATTTGTGGTAAAATAAGTTTCCCATGGTAAACATCGAATGAGAGTTTCAGTCCGTTTCCATGTTTGTTGATCAAAATATCTGCTCTGGTACGTCATTGAAGCTTTAGAGTTCAATTGTATGGCGTTTAAAGAGTGAATAATGCTCAATACAACTCTATGGTCACTCATAAAAAACTCATGACTGGTATGCACTGAGATAGAGTCTATGTTGATTGTGAACATTAAATCAAGTGTATTATTCCCCCTGGTTGGTTTTCGGACCTGTTGAACCCATCCACAAATTTCTAATGTTTCAACTAGCTTGTTATATCGACCTGGCACCGGAGTCAAGCCCCATGTAATTTTTGGCAGATTTAAATCACCTCCGATGATTTTAAAAGTATGAGGTTGATGCGAAGCAATGGAAAATATGTTTGTTAGTAATCTGTCAAACTTAGTATCCGCATGAGGTGGTCTATATATGCATCCCACCAGTAAGTAACTTTGGGATCCACAGTTTACAGTAACCCAAGTAGAGTCTTCTATAGCATCAAGGGATTTATCCTCAAATTTGCACGCTTGAATGTCTGAACGTACATAGATAATTGTACCGCCTCCTATTCCATAACATCTATCGGTTCTAAAGAAAACGTAGTTATCTACATTCAAGGAATGATCGGACATGGATGAATTACACCACGTTTCCGTACAATGGTTGGATTTACAAGGAATAAAAGAGTTTTAAGATGAATAATTTTATTGGGCAGAGAGCGGGCATTGAACGAAAGAATAAGAAACTCAGAGTCATCGTAGTGAAGCAGGTTAGAGTATAAATCGCAATTGGTAGGGCATGTGTATCCGGTATATTAACCACAATTGCATTGCTAGATCGTCTTATTCTTTCAAATACCTCTGATGCAACACGATGTAGGAAAATATTTATGTCATTCATTTGATCTGGAGTCTCTGTGAGGTTGGGGTTGATGAGATATTTAAGCGGATTGAGAATGTTCATGTCTACTTGCAACTTTTTTATAGCATCCATATGGTTGCAGTTGCGATTATCATCACTGTTTACCATCAGAGTTTTCAACATGTCTGGAATGGAGACAACTGGTAAAAGCTTGTCTGCTTCCAGATGAACGGAGTGGCTCGTCTGGTTGAAACTGTTGGAAATCGTGTCAGTAGTGGTGTTAAATTGTGTCGTTTTCCTACGTTTGGCTGGACGCCTAGAAGCAGGGGTCTTCATTTTCTTTTGTGGCATGATAAGAAAGTGACGTATAGCAAGTGGATTGAACAGAATGTTGGAAATAGAAAGGGGTGAAAAAAAATCAATTCCGAAGGCTCAAGTTAGTCTAAAAATCAAAATCTATGTTTTAACCAAGGGTCAATGTATCGTGAGGATTAGTGGTGTTAAAAACAGATGACAATGGCAGGAAGATAGTAGTGGAGATGAAGTATTTATGTCAGTATCTGTGTGGAGGCGAAATAGAATATAAAGGAGCAAGTTGTATAAATTTTAACACATATGACATGAAAGATAGCCTTATATGGTAAAGTAATTTAGAAATGTCAATAATTAGTAACGAACAATCAAAAAAGTACGGTACGTGATACATATATAAACTGAAAGTCCGTATTAGTAAAAATTGGGAGGTGCAGAGACAAGTAGTTTAGAAGATTATTACCGTCTAAGATTATTATGTTGCTTCTTGAACAAATATATGAAACAGCTTTTTGGAAAAAAAATACTGTCAGAAAAAAACTATGACAGACTTACCGAATTGGACAGGTAGCTTTGAAAATTAAATGATTTATAGTATCCAAATACGATTTAAATGATAGTTCATAAAATAGTGAATACAGTCCTTTAACATACACGGTTATATATATTTCTTGATATTAGGTAGAGGTTTGAATAGATCCTGTAGATACATAAAGTACGTGGGTTAAAGTATTCAAATACGATATAACCATATATTCCTTAAGGAATAGAATACAGATATGAAATACAAATCTTCGTCAAACATGATTATATATGGTTTCAAAGTGACAGAGTATAGTTTGATCGTATAGTCAAAATGAATATATGTAATTAGATTATTATGAATTATTGTATGAATATGGTCATAAATACCGTAAGTTAAACTCAGAACTTATCATATGGCATGAAATTCACAGTTAATATGTTAATAGTTAGGAATAGAGTTAACTTCTATAATTCCAAGAAAAAATAATTCATCCAGCTCTGCGAGAATCCTAGAAAAATAAAACTAAAAACCTCGGCCTGAAAGTTTCTTACTTTGAGTGACACGAATCCGTATGTTGTGTAGTGATACGAATCACCATAGTTATTTAATTGCACCACCATACTCATGTTAGGGTTCATTTCTAGTTACCGTCTCCTTGAAATGGAGTGCAAATAACAGATTTTTGATAATAGGAGACCTTAATGCACCTAGTATTAGTTAGACTGTGATGTCCACGGTAGGACCTATAAACTTCTTTGTTAGTAGGTTCCTGATAACCGTAATCGCGTATGCATTAGTACAGCATGTATCCAAACCTACACGTTTTTGTGCAAACCAAGATTCTTCTCCGATGGACTTGATAACCGATCATGAGGCCAAGGATATTGTCAAGCTAAATATTCTTCCACCGTTAGTGAATAGCGAGCATTCTGTTTCGTCATTTAAGTTTAAAGCTAGTGACATGACATACGATAAGATTAGGCCTCGCCCAGATGCATGGAGAGCTAACATATCAGCTATACAGGAGTGCGCTGCTAGGACAGACTGGTCTATAGATACTAGCCCATCAGTTGAAGAAGAATGTGTTATATCCTAGTGAGGAATAAATTACGAGTAACTTCTGAAATATGGAATGACCGCCTCTTGTTAAGCCTTTCAAGGTCGTGGAAACGAAACGGCGGGTGACTTTGTAAGTAAGTAACTTTTACCGTGCCCCAATGATCAAGAGTCATCTCATCGCTCAGGCGTGTCAGATATTTGGAATTCAGGCAACAAATTACCTCGTACCATCCGGGAGGTGATAGCCTGATGGAAAGTACAAACAGGATCACTTGTAGCGTGTTGGGACTATGCCTGTAGTTTCAACCCCACGGGTTCAAATGGTTCAAATGGTTGTGGACGGAATAGAAGAAGCTTTCGCTTAACAGGCTTCCGTGTCTAGTAGCAGGGGACCACCAAATCCTCCAGGCAGGAACCTAGGTATGTTAACAATAAAAGAGGAAAAGAAATTGGTAAATCATAGTGTGATGCTGTCCTTGGTCCTTAAGAATAGGTCAAGTTGCCTCTTGAAGGACTCCTGAGAAGTCGCTTGGACTAGCTCGGCCGGCAGCGAATTACAGCTTTTGACAACTCTTAAGGAGTAGAAGTTGTGTCTACATTCCGTCTTGCTATGTTGTGTTTCCAGTTTCTGGGTGTTACCCCTTAGGTTATTATTCGAACTAAGCTTAAGTAGGTGTTTAAGAGGATGTCCAGAAGTGTTAAGAATACTATAAGCATTAATAAATCACCTCTAAGACGCCTATACTCTAGTGGGTAAAGGTCTAGTGAACGGAGGCGTTCTTCGTAAGGCTTAGATTTGAGTCCTCGAACTGATTTCGTGGCTCGCCGTTGGATACGCTCCAAAGTGACCTTGTCCTTTTGGAGTGAGGGGGGAGTACTATGTTTCCGTACTCTAAATGGGGACGGATGAAACTATTGAAGATTGTGTGGAAAGTTCTTCCGTCAAACTGGCCAAAAATGCGCCTCAACGTTACCACTGCAAGGTTTGCTCGGAAGGCATTTTTGTCACAGTTAGCGTAAGACTTTAAGTCATGGGGCACCAAGACTCCTAAATCTTTTTCGACTTGGGATACTACTAGAGAGGAGTTTCCTAAGTTGTAACTGTAGTTTGCGACATGTCGCAGATGGACTACTTTACACTTTGAAGTGTTAAAGGTAAGTCCGTTATCGTCTGCCAAACTTTGAAGTCGCGTCAGATCCTCCTGAAGTGCCTGTATATCGTCTTGGTTGCGTATCTCTCTCCAAAGTTTCACGTCGTCGGCAAAAAGTTATAAGTCTGACGTTACCTGTTGAGGAAAATCGTTTATGTAGATCAAGAAGAGAAGAGGCCCTAGTACTGAGCCCTGGGGGACCCCACTAGGACATTCCATAGCTTGAGATAAAGTGAAATTAACCCTAACCTTAAAGTGTCGATTTTTTAGGTATGAAGTAAGCCAGTCGATTAGAGGTGGTTTGATACCTAGTCGTTTGAGCTTGTTGATAAGACACAAGTGGTTAACCTTATCAAAAGCTTTTGAGAAATCAAGGTAAATGACATCAACCTATCCCTTGCGATCGAGGATGCTTGTCCATCTGTCCACCGCAGTCAGCAGGTTGGTTATACAAGAGTAACCCTTCCTGAAACCATTCTGTTGGGGTGAGAAAAAAATTTAAGGACAGTAGATAGTCATTTAAACCGTCGCATATCAGGGACTCCATGAGTTTTGAAGGTAATGACAGAAGAGCCACCGGCCGATAACTTGAAGGTTCATTGCGTCGACCACCTTTGAAAATTGGTGTGATGTGAGCCAACTTCCAATTTTCGGGTAATTTGCCTCGGCTAAGCGATTGTGAAATCATCACGCTAAGCGGCGTTGCCAGGATTGAGGCTGCCTCCCTCAGTATGGCAGGATGAACCATATCCGGGCCAGGAGAAGTGTCAAGTCTTAAGTGCTGCAATTTCCGGAACACCAAGTCAGCGCTTAGGTCCACTTCAGAAAGTCCTGTGGAATTGCAGATGAAACTGTCGTCAATAAAGTTGATGTCAGCCGGTTGAAATGTTTGAGAGTAATGGGCCGCCAGAAGGTTAGCGGCGTCGCCATCAATGTTGGTCGGGCCGTTAAGACCTAGCAGTTGAGAAACTCCTGTTTTGGCTTGACGAAGAGAGGCTGCATAACGGAATAGGCTTCTAGGGTTAGAGGCGAATTTGTCCATAAGCTTTGTTTGGTACTGAAGCCTGTCTTCTCTTATAGCCTTCGTGCATGTGTTCCTGATATGTTTGTATTGCCCATACGCTCCATCGTTATTAGTTCGTTTGTATTCTGCCCAACAGTGCCTTTTGCGGCTTAGCAGGCGAAGGGTACGGTTCTTGATTACTGTAGGTGGCTTGCAGCTTTTGGGAACCGTTTGAGGAACTGAATGGTTTGTAGCACATAAGAGCGTGGGCAGTAAGAAGTCCCAATGACCGTCCACATGGAGCTGGAGGTGAATATCTCAAACCGCCTGTTGTAGATAGTCGTGTAGAGCTGGCACATTCAGCCGTTTAAAATTCCAACGCAAATTATTGTTGGGATACCTTAGCTTAGTTTTGATGACAAAACTGAAGGCTATGACGGGATGATCGCTCTTTCCCAGAGGAGCCAGGATTGAGAGGTTGTCAACTACGAATTCTTCATTTGTGAATACACAGTCTAAGCGCGATGGTGTCTGACTGTTTCTCCAACGAGTTGCCGACCTCACATTTTCATATAATCCCAAACTGGATCTGCGGATGATGTATGAGACTACTTTGTAAATAAGCTTTCCCTTTTACAACAATGGAGTTGTCCGAGTTTTCGAAATATATACATAGTTGCTGGTACTCCATGTTCTTTCTCTTCGGACATTCACTCATTCCAGTTTGTTTGCTGTTGTTTTTAGACCTCCCTTGCCTTCAAATAAACGCCGATAACGCGGTACAGTAAATTAAAGCACGTTAATAGATTTTTACAATGCTGTCTGCAAGGGATTTTTATCGCTTCGAGAAACTAAACAGTCAGGTAAGGACTTTTCAAAATTCATATTAAATTCGGATGCACTAAAAGTAGCTTTCTTAGGACATACTAGGGGAAAGTCGTGAGGCGTTCAGCAATAAGGTTGACCTTCCGATCGGTCAGTGTGTAGGGGATAACTGTGTCAACCATTGCAGATATCATTACTATTAAGTTTGTGTTTGATTTTTCAAGTCCCCATGCGTATGGTAGGGTCCCAGCTACTTAATGATATCTCCATTATAGTTGACTAAATACAGTAGTACCATATTATTGCTGTTAGTCTTCATCTACGTTCGGTATGATTTGATAAACGTACTAGATGAATATGTGCACCATAAACCTTCATTAATTCAGCAGTAGATTTTAGATTCATCGGGCGAATCTAATACTGAGTTTAATTGATTGTAGGTTTTGAATTGTCTTGTGACCGTGGTGGCGATTATTCTTATTCCAAGAGAAAATACATGTTAACATGTAGTATGCTACTCACAATGCTAGTCGCTAATCTATAATCGCTTCGCGTTCCGTCATAAGGAAACCGCTTGGACGTGTGAACCGCTTCTTAAGAAAGAACTCGGAGAGGTCTGTAACTAGCTGAGTGCCTACTCGCGTAACACTGCCGAGATCATTGAAATATTTAAAAAATCACTGATTGGGTGCTAAAATGCAATATTCTAGTTGAAATCTCACGTATGTGGGTTTTAAAATCCATAGGTTAAACTTTGCTATTAGTTTTCAAACTTTTTTTAGAACATCAGTCCCATACTTCACCTGTATTTATTTTAGGGCAAACTTAAAAGCTCAGAAGAAGGTATGTCACTGACTGAAAAATTAATTAGATCATTGGATACATTAAATGGCCCTTGCAGTGTAAATGGAGTTTCAAAACCCTTAACCTCTGAAACATTAAATCGACTAAACGAAAAAAATAATACTAGAAAGAAACGAAGGCGAAGCAAGCGTAAATTCTCGGAAAAAGATGGGTCTGGTGCAACAGATGTTGGTTGTTCTAAAACTAAAGATCTTGAATTCAGTTTAAACACTGTAGATGTAACTTCTGAATCTGATCAGGAATTTCAAAATTTACATGCAAAGAAACAAAAGTGTGATCCTAAACAGGGATTAGGCAGTAATACGATTGCTGAAAAAGATTGTATACAATCTCCCAAAAAAGATCTTTTGAATGCCTCATTCCGCCCTGATACTTTGTCGGTATCTTCGAAACAGATTACCAGTAGCCTAAATCCTTTGAAACAAGGTGAACAGTTACTCAAAGAAATACTGGAGCCCGTCGCGTTAGAAGAATTTTTCAGGTTTGTTTAGTAATTTCATCCGATTTTTTATTACACTAAATAGATTTTTGTACTGGTCAGCATTTTATTCATAAGGCGATTGTTTCCTGTACTTTGTACAAAATAACGCAACGGTGTACCATTTTTAATAAATTCTAAATCGGTAGCAATGCTCAGTGGGGCAAAATAGGAATTCAGAAAAAAAATAATATGGCACTTATTAGAAAAAACAATAATAAGCAGGGATATCAGTGTGATGGATTTGTAACCATGGACTAATAATATCGCTCCCCTTGACTTGTCTTATATATTGTTTTCATTAAGTATTCCTGCTAGAGCAAATATAAAATGTGATAGATTGCCTAAGGATAACATTTCAGTCAGTTCGTCATAAAAAGTGTACGACCTGACACAGATGTTTATTGACTCATGTCAACATACGCTACATCAACATAATGATGTGAAATTAATGAAATGAATATTAAAGTAATTGAAATAGCAATAGTATCTTCGATTGCGAAGCAGAAAGAACACGTATTTTGTTTTAAAATCAGTAAATCAATCAATAAAATAATATTTAGACTAAAGATGTAGTGAACGTTAAAGAACTAACACACCTACTCCACCGACTGATTTTTGAACCATGTCACATAAGTCCTTTAACTATCGATCGCGATTATTTCATGGACCCCAATTAGATGGTGTGCATTAATCCACACACATCTTAACAACTGATGACTTCATGAACCGGTTGCATGTTGTGGTTTGTTCGCCTACAACTTTATTTAAACCCATTTCCACGTCAACTAGCACTGAGCTTCAAGATAAATGGTGATTGAGTATGGGAAACATGTAGGGAAACAGTCTCGTTGAGTGTATACTCAAATACTCTTTTTGATTAATTGGAAAAATATGCAAACAGCTGGGGAAACAGCAGCGACATCTCTACGTGATTTGAACCAAAGGTTCTGTGGCAGTGTCTGTCTTTTAAAGGTGTACCTCAGAAGTACATAAACCTTGTGAAGGCTTTTTGCTCGAACACTAACCGTCAAGTCAGAGCTTACGGCGAACTGTCATCTGCTTTTGCGACCTAATGTGTCCGACAAGGATGTTCACTATCTCCATTTCTGTTTAATTTCATCATAGACCTACTGCTGGAAATAACATTCTCGTAGACTGAATTTTCGTGAATTGATCTCCTACCAGAAGGTCCACTTATCGACTTACAATACACAGATGATATAGTCCTGTTTGACGAAGACACTGATAAAGTTCAGTCTTTTAGTAGCGCTGAACAACAATGCGGGAATGTTTATAATGCGTTTATCCCCCTCTAAATGCAAGTCGTTGCTCCAGGACTAGCCTACGTCAACACCTGAACTAAGCAAAGGGAGTGAAGTAGTCGAACGCGTTGTCAACTTCACTTATCTTAGAAGTCTGATAAGCCCTAATGGGTTGGTGTCTGACGAAATCTCAGCACGGATTCGAAAAGCTCGTTTAGCTTTTGCCAACTTACGTCACCTATGACGAAGGTGAGATATCCGTCTATCAATTAAGGGACGAGCTTACTGCGTGGCAGTTCTGTTTCACTTTACGGCCGCGAAATGTGGCCATTAAGGGTTGAGGATGCCGGTAAGTTACTAGTATTTGGTCACAGATGTCTTAGAAATATTGCTCATATCTGCTGGGATCGCCGGGTAAGTAGTAATGAGGTTAGACTCAGGGTATTAGGGAATGGTGGTAAGTCAGTTGATGAGGTTGTGAATCTTCATCGACTGAGATGGTTGGGCCACGTATTACTCATGTCCAACCACCGATTGCCATGACTCACAATGCTAACTAATGTTGGAGGCGGTTGAAAGAAAGTTAGGGGCGGGAGAACCAAAACATGAGATCAATCCATACAGTCACTAACTTCCAATCTGAGCCATGTTAGTAGATGCAGACTACTTCGTTTGGGTCCACGTGTCTATCGTAACCAATAGATGGAGACTCTGGGTGACATGACTCAGAATCGATCACAACGACGTAGGGTTATACATTATTTGTCCTCAAACCGTGAGATTAAAATTGCTTTATACCTTTATTTCGTTCTCCCTGTTTCGTATCCCTATGTGTAATCTTATTTTTTTAATACATTACTGCGATTTAAGTAACTACTTCTATGAATTAGGTGTCCATCTTGTTGTGCTAATGAGGTATGACAATTTGGACGGATGCATATATGTGCCCGGTCCTACGCTGTAGCTGACAGAAGCGGTATAAATCCACTAAAATTTCTAACAGTATCTTTTAGATTCAGACCTTACTCCACGTATTTCGGTTTAAGCGGCCTGGTTGTATCACTATCCCTCACTCGATACAGTATGTCTCAAATGTGAGTAATTAGAACCTGTACTTGCTGAAGTAGCTATAATATAATATTAATATGTTGAGTTGTTTGATAATTTCTAGTACTTTTTTGTTCATGTTAATCAGAGTAAATTATCAAAAAACCCCATTACATATCAAACGGTCCAGTTCAAAATGTGGTGAATGGTTGAATTATTCTTTTGTGAAAAAATTGTTGGACAAGGTGAGCAATCTATAATTTACATATATATTTCTCGAATTGTATAACCACTTTTTCTACGGCGTTAGTGGTTTACCGACTATGTGAAGATACACACATTAGAGTCGCACGTACAGTTGTTTGGAAGCTAATGATATCGTTTAACTCAAACGGTAGTGTGTAACGGAATATAGACTGATAAACTACTTGTTGACAATTGAGTGTCTCAGCTACTGATTGTTTCCTTTTAGCCCTTGAAAACTATGTTTTCACATTTTACTTATTTCCTATTTATTCCTTCAGTTTACTTCATTATTTCGATCTCGATAATCTTCTAAAGCTTCTTTATTTGTAATCTCGTCAATTTAATCTAAGCTATCCATGTGTCCCAGTTTTTTTACGTTCACAATTTTAACAGGTATACTGTTATGATTAGTTTCAAGCTAACAACACAATAATTTATAACGTGATTGCTTACATTACAAAGGAATACAGAATAATCCTGCACTTTTGTAACTTACTTTATAAATAACTATGGTGAATTATTGTATTTTATTAATTAATGTCAAACATCTTAAGTCGATAAGATTCGACGCTTAACTCATTTAACTGGTTCCCAAATCCAAATACAACTTGGGCAGGAATGTAATTATATTATGGAGGAAAATAGCAAATGACTGAATGTCAATGTGTATACAAACTTCACAGAGGAACGTTCAACAGTCTTTTCAGCTCATCTATTAGCACTGATTGGTTGAAAATGGACCAATCAGGTGTTTTTCCCGTCAGCAAAGTTGGCAGTTGAGTTTTCGTCATAAACTGAAATCAAATCAAATTCTAATGAAAACCAGAGGGTACTGTTTCATCTTCGATCGTGTAATAGGTATTCGCTATTTCACATCAGACCAGACCCTCTGGTCCTTCAAGTCTCTTAATGTTTACGATATATCTATAAACTACCTGTTTGGAGTCTAACTATGTTCACATTTCTAAATTAAATCAGTTTTTAGATATAATGTAATTGTCTTACAATGTCCTGGATAGTGATTAGGCCTAAGATTCTTGAAGTTTTAGTGAGAATTATGAATCAAAATTTTGTGGTATTATAAGCAGATACAATGCTGATATGCTATGATAAAGTATGATCATTACTAAGTAAAGTAGTATCAAATGGTAAAATAGTTCTGATCAGATCAGATTGTTCGGAATGCACGTTCTAATATTTCATTTGGTTTCGATTGACCTCATCCTATTGCATTATTCCATTAGAGAATTGGCTTATTTTATACGGAATTCTAGGTGTCAACGAATAGATAATTAGATAAGATGGGTTTCGTTGGTCATTCACAATTCGATAAAATTCAGAGTGCGACTAATGAGCTTAATTCTTACCTTATCACATCATACGATGACGTTAATAGTATCAAGAGTGAAACTTTTTGTATTCCATCTCAATGGGTTAACGATATCTTCCTAATAATGGTGAAAAGGTGATTAAGCACATTAATTTATACTGACGCTGGCGAATCTTGACTATTCAAACTAGCGCGAAATATATTTCTAAGGTGCTGTTCATCATATGAACAGTCGTCTAAAGACCGTCAGAAATCGGATTATTTATCTGTAGTCACCAGAAAACAATTTTACAAAATAAAACTTGGAAAATTTGAAGCCATTAAAGATGAATAAGAGGTTTCTTGATAATCGTGCGAAATTTGTACTCAGTCATTTTCCAGTATAGGAGTTGTGGAGATTATTAATTTTTCGATTGAGATCATGAACCGATTGATGTTAGCACCTGTAAGCACTGGACGGCCGTTTCGTCCTACTGTAAGACTCCTCAGCAGTGCGCACATTCGATCCCGCTCGCGGGATTCGAACTCAGAGCCTTCGGTCTCTCACGCGAACCCTTAACCTACTGGACCACTGAGCCGGGATCCAATGGTGATAGTCTCTAACTACAAACAATCCACCAAATTGCGCGACCATCTTCCATTGTACTGAGGGAGATACCTGTCGCTATCTGACATGGATTAGCTCCGCTGGTCACGGCTTCTCACTAGAACTCCGAGAATTCCCTCACGAAACTGGTCACTAGTGAGCACATGTTTATTACTAGTATAAAGGTTGTGGAGATTATTAAGTTTTTGATTGAGATCGTGAACCGATTGATGTTTATTTTTAGTTGATTCAATTGCAGTCAGTTTATAACATTGGGTCTCAAATTAAAACCAACAAACTCCATACCCAAGCATAAGTATGAAACATGTTCAAATTCATCATGATATAGTTTCATTATCTTCACAGGAATTTCAGCATTTCAAATCCGCTGTCTTCAATTGTCGTTGACACATCAACACCCAATCTAATCACAACAACTTGTTAACCAGAAGTCATACTGAAGAGAAAAAATAATGGGTACTTAATCTCTAAAGCTATTTAGATCTAACACTATATATTCTTTCAGTACGGTTTTTAGTTTCGATCATAACTGTTTTCGTTGATTGATGTGTCTACTTATTAGTACATCTAAATGGCCAAATCCACATGTAGTTTTATAAAAAAAAGTGGATAATTACTGATCTCATGAATCCTAATGTATATGTGTGTATGACAGATTAGAAGTAATACTATTTAAATTTCCTTGCTGTTAAAACTTAATTTTCCATGTGGGAAATGAGATGTAATGATTTATGTGATTAAGACACTTAATTTTCAACTAATGGATTAGAACATAAGATTTATCTCCACATTAGTATCACTAGTCAGAAGACGAAAAGCCAATGTCCGGCGCTTTAACCGGGTTGGTGGACACGGAGAGTCCACCTAGGGGGGTTAGCAAACCCTGATTCCAAACTAATGGTGAACATGGGCTCCAGTATCCTGAGGGAACAAATGGCGTATGAACCAATCGTTGGTCACCGGCTACCATGGGACTGCATCTCCTGACGTTGCTCCACTGCATTGTGGATCAGACCTTCAGGCCGAAGGCTCCGGGTGTGGCCCCCTAAGAAAACCACCTGTTTTTGGGTTTTGGCACCTAAACAGTATCACAGTTCACACACAAATCAAGTGACTTGTGTGGTGCATATGTATTCGGTGCTTCTTTGTACCAAGATTTATGTGTTTAAATAACTAAACTAGTCATTATACAAAACTGTGTACAATGTTATTATTATTATTATTGCATAATATTTACAATACATATTCTGTGAAAAGAACATTTAAAAAATGAAATCAAACTATCTTATTTCTTAAAGGAATTTCTCTTTTTTGGACAACATGTGGATTTAATCGAAGACAAAACTCTGAAACATGAAATTGTTAACCCATCTGGCCGAGCATTTGCTGGAACTGTATGGGAGCATTATTCTGTAAGCTTTATTATTAAAAAACTTTTTTCTTGGAGAAATATCTAATAATTTCCTTCAAAAAAACATTCAACTTATATTTTTATATCCTTTTCTTATGTGAAGCTGCTAATAATAATTTTTTTTTGACCACGCGGTCAGCCATTATCAACCTGACATGAGTGTGAGTCGTTCAAAGTTGCCATCAACTCAGCAAGTAATCAATTGAATGATGGATTCATTGGAGTAACAATGGAAAGTGAAATAGTAAAGGATCCAATCAAAGAATATAAGGCTAGGAATAATTGCTCAAGATGTGGACCTGAATAGAGAATAAATGCAACTGTGCCACAGTGATCAATTTTGCACCATGCTATTCAGTATCTCTTAATTATTGATTATAAGTGTTGCATAAGCCTAAGCCAGAAAGTAAAAAAAAATATTTCGACATGACTCAGACTAGGAGTCACTGATTTCACTGATAGATACCATTTCTTGACTTACCCAACCTTAGATTTTTTCCAACCATATTCTGTGTCAACAAACATTTCACGTAAAGTAAAGGTTGGTTAGACATGCTCATAGATTTCATAACTCATTAAGCTGATAGAGATTTTTAGCCTCATTAATGGACTTATCTTTTTCGCATATTTCTCTACACTACACAGACATTACTAACTCGGTGGTTCGCCCACACACTGAAAATTCATCGAAGATACTTATGATGATACTTTACAGGTCTTCTACTTTCCTAGGCCATATTTATCAGCCGTACGGTAATGCACAGCGAACTTTAGCACAGCATACTGTCCCCCCTTGGTTGCAAATGGATATCTCTATTCACAAGTTGATCGGGTTAGTGAGACAATCAAGCTTTCTGCATCCGTGTCGCGATTTCGTCGGTCACTAGTCTATCATGACTGAGAAAACCTCTAATATAAATATAGTGTTTGGGTTTCCCACTACTTCACTTCACATAATCAAACTAGTCCATTTTGCATTTAAGAGTAGAGAAACTCTGATTAGATAAGTGGTGTAGATGACTCGATTCGTCCCTAGATTATTGGAATGAAAATAATATTTCATCAAAAGGTATTTTGAATTCGTAATCCACTAGTGTTAAGAAGCTATCGCTCTACCAAATCCACTATATACAACCGCGGGGACCAGGATATAGATCGACTGATTGAAGTGCTGCCACTTTAATCACTAAACCATCATCGTGACATTTCTGTTACTATTCATTTTGCAGTATATTATCGACTAGATTTTGTTCGTGTTTTATAGCAAGGAAAAGGATTACGTTTTCACAACCTTCAAACATTCTCCAGAAGTCTCCGCTTTCGTGTAGGTCTTCTGCAAGAGTATTTCGGTTGTAATTTTACCGTCACTGCTTACTTGCTACCGTCGAAATCGACTGAATTATCTTTCAGTCAGTTGGACCACGATTTGTTTATTTTGCAGCAAGAAGGTTCACAAAATTTTCAAATTACAAGGTATGATTGAAGTTAGTTATTTACTTTCCAAAACAATCCTTTTAAGTAACAATTTTGCGTAATTATATACAGCATAGTAAAATATTAAGTAATTAAATGGAATGTAGCTAGCTGTGGATTCCACTACCGTGCCATATTTTTCCAAACTAAATAACTCAATAATGACTTTTCTGTGACACCTTTGGCTTGCAACCATTGTTGCATGTTTAAGCTCTTCTGCATCCTCGTTGGTGGTCTTCGCAAGTGTCACTGGCCCTCAAGCAGTGTTAACACGAATCTATAATCGGTAAATGATCAGAAATTCAACTATTAAGCAATGTTTCTAATCTTTTATTCATTTGACCAGTTTCATTTGCCTAAATAATATTATTATTCATAAAACAAATGTGACTCTCTGCCTGGATTCGGTGTAACTACATCAGAGATTTGTAATTTGTTCAGTTGAAAACTGTTAGTTAAAGATTAGTAGATGAGTCACTCGTGAGCACTTATTTTTAAGCCATAATTAATTAAATAAATTTTATCTATACAACTTCGTAACTAATTCGAAGTAGGTGGAGCGGAGTTCAAATTTATAATAGATTGATCACTTTATTAATAAACCTACCAACCACTGTACCATCATTATAAATAGTGACATCAAAATCAGTCAGTTAGTTATCGACAACGTAAGACCTTAGGCAACTTAGTACATTTTATATCAACAACAGCGCAGGAAACTGGAGGATGCAGAAGTAATGTTAGAGCAAATTAAACATTAGTAAGACATGATTTTAAACAAACCAATACAGTAAACTGAAGAGTATGGCGTAATAGTGGAAATTATGATGTAAACAACAAACAGAAAGATACCATCAACATAGAGCCTGACACAAATGTTCGTTAGCCCAAGTTGCAGTACCTGATTAGCACGAAATGAAAGTAACAAGATAAATCGAAATAAGTTAGTAGAAACGATAAAACAATATTATTTAAAAAGACATAGTGGGAAGGTGTGTAGGGGGGGGGTAATAAAATTCAAGATAGAGAGTGAATGCATCTGGGCTCTTGTGAACGAGTTCAAGCTAGGTCTTCAACCATTGATCTCGACTATCATGTGGACCCCAATTAGTTTAGTCTGCAACTACTATCGTGGCTCAAACCATCAGTCAGTGACTTAAGCAATTGACGCCACGTATTGGTTTGGTCGCCCCTTGCTTCCTAACAACTTATTTCATTACCAGCAAGCATCACTCATCTAAGTAGGTGATGTCAGGCATACACATGTTCTAACCACCTCCATCAATGACAGTTCGTTACCGGATCAACTGGTTCACCACCTCTACCAAATGCTCTATGAGGATGTTGGATATATGTAGACCTGTGTTTCGTCAGTTGATTTCATGAAATTTCTCACCACTAACAGCGATACTGATATAGACTGAGTGGGATTCGAGTTTGCAATTAAGTGATGGAACCATTGAATCACCATTGTTCGGTCACAAGGTTTTTAAGTTTTATTCATAACTTCAGCCTGATTGGATCATAAGCCAGATAAGTCTGAAAAGTCTCAAGAAGTTGAGTGTAGTTTACGTAGTTTTTGAGAAAATGTTTCCTGTTTTCTTCTTTGCAGTAATAAAACAAACTTGAAAGGTCAAAACAAAAGTACGTTTTCGGTTTTTGAAAGAAATTGTAACATGATTTAATCCATTCTGTATTTATTTCTTTTAACACATAGATATTGGTACAAGGAGGCATCAAATCTCACTTGATATGTGGGAGGGCTGTGATACTGCCTGGTTGCCCAAACCGAAGCAGGTGGTTTTCTTAGGGGACAAAACCCGGAGCCTTTGACCTGAAGGTCTGATCCACAAGGCAATGGGGCATCGTAAGAAGATGCAGTCCCATGATAGCCGGTGACCAACGATCGGTTCATACGCCATTTGTTCCCTCATGATACTGGAGCCCATGTACGCCATTAGTTTGGAATCAGGGTTTTCTAACTCCTCTAGGTGGACTCTCCATGTCCATCAACCCGGTTAAGGCGTCGTACATTCGCCTTTCGTCCTCTCAATTTCGTAAACAACAGTAATGCCACGAGAAGGCAGTGAGTAGGACATGCCTGGCAGTGATTGTATGCACGTGACCAAGTGAGGGCATTTGGAGAGGGAGAGCTGACTCTCCCCACTCTCGGCCGTACCAGGGCATTTGCGGGCAACCCATTCTGTATAATCGAACGTTAGAAATCAGCAGTATATATGTGTGTATGTATGCTCCTGTATGATGATTATTCATGGTGTCATTTGAGTTGTGTCAAGTGAAGTATCTATTAATCAATTTAGTATATAAGCATAAAAGAACACAACAACAATAACAACCGATTTGAATAGTGGAAATTTGTTTCATGACTAAAAAATAATGTGTGCCAATTTCACTTAGGCAACCTAACACATTAGTTCTTACATAAGCTTATTCAAATTGCCACTTTATCATTTCTGAAATAAATCCATTATATAATTATGATGCACAAGTGGATATTTTTTCACATCTAAAAGTGGCATATCCACAAAAACCCTTCTGATATGAATCAACCTATGCTCCCTAGCAACTGGCTTCAAGAGGTATTTCCTGGAGTTCTAATGAGAAGCCGTTACCACTGGAGTTCAGCCAGTATTTGATCATAGGTGTCTTCGAAATATTGCTCGTATATCCTGTGACCATCGAGTAACTAATGCAGTTGTTCAGTCAGTCAGTAGCAACGTAGAACTCCGTACGTACGTACATCAGTTCGAGTTGCCACACCACATTAGCACAGAGATGCAGTGGTCGATTCAAATCCCGTAGTGCTACATGTAGTAAAATTATAAGCTGTAATCAGAAAAATTAGGGTTTGAAGGTGTTAATTAAAGAGTATAATCCAGTGAAATAAATTTGGAAAGAGAAAAAAGAAAGAGACATGAAGAATTCAGAAGATTAGAATTTGGGAGAACACAAAGAGTGTATGCACCTGCGCCATTGTAAACGATTTTGAGCCATGTCATTCAGGGTCTCTAACCATCGGTTGCTATCATCTCGCGGTCCCCAACCAGGTAGTCTACACCTACCAACATAGCTCAGTCTACTTGTCAGTGACTTCATAGATTCGTGCCATGTTTTGGTCTGGCCACCCCTAGCTTTCTTCCAACCTTCTCCTACATCATAAAATATCGCACGTCGAGGCAGTCGGTAGTTGGGCATACGTAACACGTGTCCCAGCCATCTCAACTGATGAAGTTTCACTACGTCATTAATTGATTTGCCATCCTTACATAATACCCGTTTCCTAACAACTGTGTTACTTACTCGATGGTCCCGTGATATACGATCAATATTTCGAAGACACCTATGATCAAATACTAGTAACCTACGAATATCCTCTACTCTTACCGGCCACGTTTCGCTGCCATAAAGTAGGACGGAACGGACTGCTGCGCAGTAAACACGTTCTTTGGTTGATAGACGGATATCTCGCATACGCCATAAATGACGCAAGTTGGCAAAAGCTAGTCGAGCCTTCTGTATCCGTGCTGAGATTTCGTCACACACCAGACCACAAGGGCTGATGAGACTTCCCAGATGAATGAAGCAGTCGACACGCTCAACTACTTCACTCCCTATCATTAGTTCGGGTGTTGATGCAACCCAACCCTGAAGCAACATTTTGGATTTCGAGAGGGAGAATCGCATCCCGAACATGTTTGCATTGTTGCTTAGAGTAGTCAGAAAACTCTGCATTTTGTCAGCTTCTTCACCAAATAGAACTATGTCATCGGCATATTCCAAGCCAACAAGTGAACCTCCTGGTAGAAGTTCAACCCCTGGAAATTCAGATGAGGAAAGTGTTATCTCTAAAAGTACGTCAATGACAAAGTTAAACAAGAGTGGATAGAGTGGTCAGCCTGACGAACACCACTTGAGGTAATCAATTCTGATGACAGTTCGCCATAAGCTCTCACTCTACCAGTTGTGTTCGAGTAGAGAGCCTTTACAAGGTTAATGTACTTCTTTGGCACTCCTTTCAATGACAAACACTGTCATAGAACCTCACGATCAACAGAGTCGAATGCTGCTTTAAGGTCGAGAAATACTACCATTGTGGGGCGTCTGAATATGTGTCTATGTTCTAGAGCCTGACGTAGTGTGAATATCTGATCTATACAACCACGTCCAGGTCGAAAACCAGCCTGATTTTCTCTAGTCTATTCTTCACGAGCTTTAGTTAGGCTTCGAAGTATTATTGAAGCTAATATTTCAGACACTATTAGTCAAACTGATTCCTCTGTGATTGTCACAAGAGGACTTTTGCCCTTCCTTAAAGACTGGCACAATCAGTGATTGAGACCAGTCAGATGGGATTACGTCCAGTTCCTAAATTCTACCTAAGACCTCAGTTAATCTCACTGCTAATACTGAACCACCATCCTTAAAAATCTCAGGAGTAAACCTGTCAGGGCCTGCTGCTCTCCCTCGCTTCAGATTTCTTATGACTTTTTCAACTTCGTAAAGGGATGGAGGACCTACATTAACTTGCCATTCAGGTTGACTAGTGATCGTGGGAAACCAAAATGTGGCTGAAGGCCAGTTGAACTGATCCCTTAAAGTGTTCTGCCCATCGATCCAATCTCCTCGATTGAGAATGTATAATATGTCCATCTTTCTCTGAGATAGTTTCGCTAACAGTCGGGTTCCTAATACTGGTTTCCTTAACGAGTCTGAACAATTGTCTGCTATTACCTATTGCCGCTACCTTTTCCATCTCTCTTGCTTTCGCTACCCACCACTGTTCACGATCATTGCGTACGCTTCTTGTCAGCTTGCGCTTAAGCTGACTCCGCTCTTCATTATGTTCAGAGTCAGATGGAATGAGTTTCCGAGCATCTATCAGTGCGGTAGATGCTGCTGAGATCCAGTGTTGCTCCCTAACCCTACGGTTTACCGTACTAGCAGATATCACTGCTGTTTCCACAGCTTTTCGGATATCATTCCATTCTGCCTCGGGGTGGGCATCACTTACATGGCTGCCTAACTGTTTTCCTACTTGTTCCTGAAATATACTCTTAGCTTGACTTTCATTAAACAGGACCCTAAGAGGTTTCCTTGCATCATCTTTCCTACGTCCAGTAAGACGCAGACAAATACGCGCTCACACTAGAGCATGATCTGAATCTAAGCATGTGCTCCAGAATGAGCGACAGTCTTCTATCGAGCCCCTCTATCGGTGGCTGATAGCGATGTGATCTATTTGGGTCCAACGTTGGGACGAATTAGGGGGTCGCCATGTTAAAAGATGTTTTTCCTTATGCTTAAAGTTAGTATTTGCCAGGAACAGGCGGTTATCTGAGCATAGCTGCAACAGACGGTCGGCATTATCTGTTCTTTGAGCCACGACACCATAAGATCCACCTAGGTGTCTTTCCCTTTCGCTTAGTTTACCTACTTGAGCATTAAAGTAACCAGCAACTATTACTACATCAGAGCGCCTAGCTTTCCGGAGAAGGTCCGAAAGCTTTCTGTAAAACTAATCTTTTACATCATCTGAGCTGCAGTCAGTGGGAGAATCGGCAGAGACGACGAAGAGGCAACGACGAGTGTCCCTATCTTTCCGGATTCTTACTGTTCCGTTCAGTCGGACAGCGCACAAACGACTGTTTACTGGGATCCACTCTAAGAGAGCTAGTTCTGCCCTAGGACTCAATGCTATACCTACGCCGGCGAGGCCACGGGAAGCAGAATCAGGGCTTCCAGATACACGAAGCGTAAATCGAGTCGGTTCTTTATTTTGGCATGGTGAGGTCAAATGAATGACGCTACTCGGATCCTGTATGCGCGTTTCGGAGACGCAGCACACATCGATGGCCCGAGATTCTAAAGTCCTAGCTAAGGAAGCCTATTGTCCTATTTGGCACAGTGTTCGGACGTTATAAGCTCCAACATGAAGTGTAGAGCGTGGTTTCAGGAGACCAGGAATAGCGTTCCGCGTACTCGAATCGTTTGCCCTAGCAGTGAGAGGTGATAAAAGGACGTGAGAAGGGTTAGTCGGGGAGATAAGAGTTATTAGGCGGTGTAGGAAGAATTTGAATGTGACCGACTTGGTCTCGTGTGCTGTTACGGGTATGACGGCTGATGTCACTTCCCTGCTGCCCACATCGTGGAATGGTATTTCTTGGGGAACCTGAAAAGGAAATTGGATTAGTGTTGGTCTTGACGACCTGGGAGCGTGACCGCAGAGCCCGAGGGACAACTGCTTGAGGCCGGTCGCGCATGACCTTTTTGTGGGAAGGTTTTTAATGTGTTAGCTCCGTTCTTCAAAGGGCCCCACCGCCAGAGACGGAAATCCGTGAGGTAAGGTGAGGTATGACATTTTTAGGGTCGACCTTTTCTAACCACACCCCTCCTTGTGGGAAGGCAGCATCGCTGCAGATGCTGGTTGTCCAAGGGAAACACCTTACTGCTGTAACACCCCTCTACAGTCAGCAGTACGACTTCGTCCTCAGACCTTGAGTTGCTGCTTTTAGTCTTACCGTTCTCCAATCGACCAAAAACCCTTCTGATATGAAACACTTGATTTGTGAATACAACGATCAAACAACCCAGATTTCCAATATTATGTGCTAACCTCTGAAACTATGTAGCAGAAATTGAAATAATGAAACTAGAAAATATATGAGTATTTGCTCATAGGGAAATATATCATATGATCTTGAGGGTCAGCCAATAAAATTACGATACTTAGAAGGCGTGGTTCAAGTTCAAAGTTTTGAAATGACTAAAAAGTTTAATGCTAGATATTCCCATCATATTGTTCATTTTTATTTTGATGGAGTTTTGTTCTCTGCGCTCAGAGTTCAAAAGTTCATTTTTATGAAACGTTTACTAAGTATGTAGCAATTCAACAAAATAATCAAAGAGTACATGCTCGAATTAAAATAAACATTTATTGAACTCAGTAACAAAGTTCAAATTCATATAGTCAGTGTTAAATCATAGTTTTTGGTGTAAGAGTTAGTCATGGAGCAGTGTTTGTGTGGTTAAAGCACTGACTCGGCTTTCAACCATTAAGTTGTAAATTCATGCCCTCATCCGATACAATTTAATTTGATCCGACAGGTAATCCCATTATTGCACATTAATTTCAACTTAGAGCTAAGTCAGTCAGCCAAATGAGAAGTTTAAAGACTTGTCACTTCTTGATTGCCCACTCTGTAGAAGAATATCTCCCCTTCGGAGACCTGAAAATAAACCTGGTATAGTGAACGGTATATCTGAAGGATAACCACTTAAGACTGATCACAAACAACGCTTTTGCAGGTAATTTCAAGTGAGTTAGTTCCGTACCTTAAAGGTCTTATCTCGGACGACGAAAATCTGTCGATTAAATTAGGATTTCTAACTCTAGTGCTGACCTTCAACCCTTTCCCATTATGTGAGAGCATCACCACGGTAAATGCTAGCGGCTTGAGTAGAACATCTTACTGCTGTCACATCTCTGTACAGTTGCCGGTAAGACTTTGCCGTCGGACTGCTAGTTTACTAACCTAAGTCTTATTGTTCTCCAACCGATCTCCTTGGGATGGTAAGAGCCAATGAGAAGAATATCTCAACGGTAGGCGAACCTGTCGGTCACATCAAGGTAGCAGCTACTGTTGATAATTAGAGAGACATCTACGTCGTTATCGAGTCTAATTCTTTCTAACAATATACACCTTCATTACAATTTTATAATCTTGTTGCTGTTAATAACTACTATTTCACTGAATAATTTTTTTCTATCTCTTTTATTGTGATTTAGGCGTTATGTTGGTGAAGTTAAAACCGGGAGATTTACTTTATATTCCTAAAGGATTCGCTTACACTATGTCACATACTAACAAAAATACTAATAAGCATACACTACATATTTGCATCAATTTCAATCAAAAATATAATTGGGGTGATTATCTATCTGAAGTAAATCAGTTTGTTATTTTCATCTTATAAATAATATGACATTGGAGTAATGGTGTTTTAGTATTGAAATAATTTAACTTTAAAACCACTGTATCACTGGTTCTAAATCTATTGTCATCTAGCTATTCTACCTTATTATAACTTAGATTATGCTCTTGGTGAATCAATCACATTATGTGACACATAATAATGTGTATCAAGTAGTTTTAAGCGTGCTCACTGTTTTATCTTGATTGGAAACACTTTTACCTGAAAATCGTTTGGCAAATTTGTGGAAATATTATGTAAATGGGATTCTGTAATTCAACAGTTTATTTTAATTCACAACAGAAATCATTTCATCCATAGATGATATTTTCAGAGCTAGGATATCCGACCTTATCTGCTAAAAAATATAGTGGTGGTGATCAGCCAAATGTGATTATATTTAGCTTCCCAAACCCTATGTGATTTCTTAAGTCAGTCAGTCAGTCAGCTACAACGTAGGACTAAGCACATATATGCATCGGTCCAAGTTGACATACCTCAGTAACACAACAAGATGAACACCAAGTTCATAAAAGCAGTTACTTGAATTGTAGTAATGTGTAGAATGTGTATAAGAATATAATACAGAAAGAAAGAATCACTTCGTAGAAATCAATTTTAATCTGACGGTTTGAAGACATAGAATGTATACCCCTGTGCCATTGTGATCGATTCTGAGTCATGTTACACAGAGTCTCCATCCATTGGTTACGATAGTCACGTGGACCCTAAGGAAGTAGTCAGCATCTACCAACCTGGCTCAGACGAGAAGTTAATGACTTCAAAGACTGATGCTACGTTTTGGTTTGGCCGCCCATAACTTTCTTCGAACCATTCCCAACACCAGTAAAGTTTGAGCGTCGTGGTAATCGGTAGTCTTAGTGATTTCTTAGTTAATCATATTGATAATATTGTATCATCACCTTTAAGACGTCTCTAGAATCACCTAGTTATTTTCCGCTATTCTTCGTCGCTTCGAGTTTGTTATGGATTTTTCAACTTAATGGGTATGGGTTTTAGTTTAGCGATTGTACAGCTAATCAATGTCATTATATCATATTAGACCAATGTCTATAAATTTCATAGAATCAGTATGTACATTAACCATTAATCACTAAGTTGAACATTCAATGATTTACATTTCTTACTTTTGATGCTAATTAACTTGAATTGTTGATTGAGTGCTATTTATTCTAGATAACTTTGAATCCTGTCGTATATGTTTATTGTTACATTTGGTTGTCCCTTCTGTTTTTTTCAATAAAATTGACTTTCTTTTTATAAAAATTTATTTCAGTTGTTACCAATTATGATGAAGAATGCTGTGGAAAATGATCCAGAATTTGATAAACCACTTCCTCTTAATTCTTTCAAACATCTTGGAATATTTTTCAATAAAGATTCAGCGAATAAACATGTAAGTGATCATCTATTCATATCTCATAAATATTGTGATCTTTTTTTGGTTTGAATTCAGCTTCATTTTTCATTTGATTATGATAGGTAGCTTATGTCAGGTATGCTTAACATATCAACTATTCATGATATTGTGAGACCACACTGTATAAGGGAGTTGGAAGTGAATAAATCAAAACAACAATTGAGCCATTAGTAAATGAATAAAACCACAAAACAATAGTATGAACCAATATAAATTGGTTAGGCATATATATAGCTTATCGCTCACTCATTCACTCACTCACTCATAGATTATGGTGCGTTTATATGCTCGTCATCAAGAATAATAATGTACATACTTTGTAATTCGATCATCATAGCTCGATATGTTTTTAGTATGGTTGTCTACCTAAAAGTCTAATGATTGAAGTACTCAGCTTTCCACCGTTACAAGTTTAAACTCAGTCCCACTTACTTCACTGTAGACAACTATGTAGTTTTACTAGTCTTCATACGATAATTGTGGTTAGCATTCAGTTTCGTTGAATAATTTCATGTGAAGTGAACAAGAAATAAGTTAGTCTGTTACCTTTTTACCAATTATCAATTCGAATAGTTGAGATCATGAGTCAATTGAAACTAGACCACCATGGAATACTTGAAAGCACTGGACGATCGTTTCGTCCTAGTATGGGATTCCTCAGTAGTGCTCATTCAATGTACACCCTCTTTTCTTAAAATATATTTGTAAAATAAAATTTCTGATAAACTGTAATAAAGAGGAAATTAAACTTCAATGTTTGTTAACAATAAATAAATAAAGTTCTGTCTTGCTTAAAGAATCAGTAGAAAAATACGGTAATTAGTGTTTAGTAATTGATGTTGACTTTATACTTTCACAACAGATTGATTTGATGCGGTAAGATTCAATATTTCAATTTCTTCCTAGAAATTCTTAATATAACGAAAACATTCTTTAAGTTCATCACATGAAATTTATCGGTAAATAAGTTAAGATTTAAAAGATCCTAACAATCTCAAATTTTAACTTATTTAAAAGATCCTAACAGCCCCCAAATGCCCTGGTACGGCCGAGAATGGGGAGAGTCAGCTCTCCCTCTCGAACTACTCTCACATGGCCACGCTTATACAGCCTCTGCCAGGGAAGTCCTACTCACTGCCTTCTCGTGGTGGGAGTATTGTTTACGAAACTGAGAGGACGAAAAGCGAATATCCGGCGCTTTTACCGGATCCCAAACCAATGGTGCACATGGGCTCCAGTATCTTGCGGGAACAAATGGCGTACGAACCAATTGTTGGTCACCGGATACCATGGGGCCGCATCTCCTCGCGATGCTCCACTGCATTGTGGATCAGACCTTCTCTCCCTCTAAATGCAAGTTGTTGCTTCAGGACTGGTCTGCGTCAACACCTGAACTAAGGATAGGGAGTGAAGTAGTCGAACGCGTCGACAACTTCACTTATCTTGGAAGTCTGATCAGCCCTAATGGGTTGGTGTCTGACGAAATCTCAGCACGGATTCGAAAAGCTCGCTTGGCTTTTGCCAACTTACGTCACCTGTGGCGAAGGCGAGATATCCGTCTATCAATAAAAGGACGAGTATACTGCGCGGCAGTCCGTTCTGTTCTACTTTACGGCAGCGAAACATGGCCCTTAAGAGTAGAAGACACCCGTAAGCTACTAGTATTTGACCACAGATGCCTTAGAAATATTGCTGGCATCTGCTGGGATCACCGGGTAAGTAATAGTGAGGTTAGACGCAGGGTATTAGGGAATGATGGTAAATCAGTTGATGAGGTTATGAATCTTCATCGACTGAGATGGTTGGGCCACGTATTACGTATGCCTGAACACCGATTACCACGACGTGCAATGCTAACCGGGGTAGGGGATGGTTGGAAGAAAGTTAGGGGCGGCCAAACCAAAACGTGGCATCAGTGCCTGAAGTCACTAACTTCTAGTCTGAGCCATGTTGGTAGATGCAGACTACTTGGTTGGGGTCCGCGTGACTTTCGTAACCAATGGTTGGAGACTCTTGGTGACATGGCTCAGAATCGATCACAATGGCGTTGGTGTATACACTCCCTGTCTTCCCTTAAACTAAGAGATTAAAATCACTTCATATCTTTCTTTCTACGAACTAATTCTTTCTTCCTATACTATATCCTTATTGCAACCTTTGACCTAACCACTCCTATGAATCCGCTGTTCATCTTGCTGTGCTAATGAGGTATGGCAACCTGGACCGATGCACATATGTGCCTGGTCCTACGTTGTAGCTGACTGACTGACTCAGGTCGAAGGTTCGGGGTGTGGCCCCATAAGAAAACCACCTGCTTCGGTTTTGGCACCCGGGTAGTATCACAGCCCTCACACATATGAAATGAGATTTGTGTGGCGCATATATATCTGGTGCCTCCTTGTACCAATATCTATGTGTTAAAATGAAACATATAAATAGATCCTAACAGTACTATAATTAAGCTCCTATTAAACTGGAATCTAACCTTTTGCTAAAACTAAATCAATCACGACGAAAAAAAAGACATCACTATTATCAAATAGAAATATTGTCCCACAATAGGATGGAACGGCCGTCTAATGTATTCAGGTTTTCCATGGGTTGTCTAGCTTCAATTGACTCATGATCTTAACTATTGAAATGACTATAGTCTCCATACAAAACTCCTTCTGAAAATAATCAATTCGTTTATTCATCCATGCAAAATATCCAATTATCTAAATTATTTCTATTCACTTAAAGGCAATTGAATTTGAAAAAGAATTTCGTGTACAAACTATTCAACTGTTAAAACGTTTAATTAGTAAAATTGAACAACGTCAAACATTTCCAATTCGAAGAATAAAAACTATATCTCAGTCGATTCATGAAAAACATCAATCTTCTTCTGCTCCTTTCTCATTGTCAACAATGACAATGGATGCAGTATCAACTGGGAAAGAAATTAATTCCACAAAACAACAACAACAACAACCTAATCCTTATGATAATTTGTTTATTCAATCAATTGATCCTTTATATTTGGCAATTGATAAAATGATGTTGAAAATAATGAGAGAAAGTTGTGCACTCGAGTTGAGTGAAGGTATTGCTAATGGTTTTCTCTTTTTTTTAAAGAATATTTTAGTTATATTTAGTTATGTATGTTTGTAATGATTTGTAGTTTCCATTTTTGTTGTGCGATTTATCAGTCTTTATTGGTATAATTACATGCTGATTGTATTGCATCAGTGTCCGTAGGTATGGTATGTGCTTTGCACCTTCGAAATGCAAAGTACTTCTACAAGACTGACAGGATTCTAATCCTGTACTCACCCTGGATGGTGAGCAGATAGAAGTAGTCGAGAAGTTCGTGTACCTTGGTAGCTCTATGAGTGCTGGTGGGGGTGTGAGTGATGAGATCAATGCACGAATAGTGAAAGCCAGAGCGGCTTATGCCAATCTGGGCCATCTTTGGCGCCTTCGTGATGTTAGTCTGGCTGTAAAAGGCCGGATCTACAACGCGTCGGTGATAGCAGTTTTGCTCTATGTTTGTGAAACCTGGTCTCTCCGAGTTGAGGATGTTAGACGACTCTCTGTGTTCGATCATCGCTGTCTCCGAAGGATTGTTGACATTCAGTAGCAACACCATGTCAGTAATGCAGAGGTTCGGCATCGTGTGTTCGGGCACAGAGATGATAATTCAATTGGTGTCACCATCTTGATACACCGACTTCGGTGGCTTGGACATGTTCTCCGAATGTCGTCCCAGAGAATTCCACGTCGTGCATTATTTGCCGACTCTGGGACTGGTTGGAAGAAGCGGATAGGTGGTCAGTGCATGACATGGTGTCGTGGCATGAAAGAAAGCTGCAAAGGACTGGCTTGTGTCGGTCGTTCACGACTCCCTGGTTGGGGTCCGAGAGATGGTGCTACACAGTGGCTAGAGGCGTTATCAGATATGGTTCAGAATAGAAGCCAGTGGCGATCCTGCTGTAACCTTCTTTTACTTTCTTCATAAAAAGTGGTTGTGTCTCCCTTACCTGAAAGATTTCTTCCGATTGTACCTTTGCGTTCCCTCATTACTACCACACTACCTTACACCAATCTCTTCGTTATTGTTCTCTTCTTTTTTTTCTATTTTTATCCGAATTCTCGTTGTTTTGTGTAGCGCATATATATTGGCGCTCTCTTGTACCAATATTCATGTGTTCAAATAAATAAATAAATAAATGATTGTATTGCTTCGATGTTGCTATTTAGTTACAATTAGCTTGTAATAGAATCCAATTCTTAAGTTTCCTCTTATTCGGAACTTTTCAAGTGAACGTACCTGCAGTTACATTCTTGAATGAAAATTACAAACCCTCTCAAATAAAATCCATACTCATTTCACAAATAAGTAGCTATCTAGATTCCTTACGTCAGTAGACAACATCAATATTGGGTTGCAGGTACATCGAGGTACTGAGTAGTCACGAACAGGATGAAATACGAGTCCTGATTTCCACTATTGACTTATTTCTATTTTCATCCATTTTTAATTACATTTCAACAATTGTTGATCTTATCAAAGTTAGAGGATAGTTATTATTATTAATTGAATTCTTCTAATTCATTTTTCAGATGAACTAATACGTTCGATTTTCAAACACGGAAGTGACAAATCGAATCAATTAACTATTCATAGTAAAATTCGTTTGATTCGTTCAACAGCGATTCGATTAATGTTGACTTATTTTGAAAATAAACAATCTGATACTGTCGTTGATGATAATACTCTTAATAGACAGCATTCTATGATTCCTTCATTCATGGTATATCATTCTTTAAATAATCAAGGCAATAATACTGATAGTAATGCAAATGTAGGAATTGGTTTTCACAAGAAAGTAAGTTTTTTCGTTTTAATTTATTACTCCTATAGTTGGTGCCAAAAACCCACCCATAATCTGTTTTAAAAATTCGAGTTCATTTTTGACGTTTTCAACCAATCTACATTGAACTTTTCTAGTTTCATTTTATTGGTAAGATTATCTACTGCATTACACTTTACTTACTTAAATGAGATGAGCAAATCTATGTAGGGAAACATACTCCCACAATACATTGTGTTGGCACAAATGCCAGTTAAGACGAAACCTGGATCCTGGATTCTTCTTTATCGATTATGTTAAACTATCCAATATCAAATTAAGATTCTTTTAGAATTCTACATATCTTAACTATAAAGAAAAAAACAACACTATAAAGTAAGTAAGAAGCATATTTTAATTGGAGAAGAAACTTATTAGCTTTATTGTTATTCATTTGAATGGTGTGACATATTATCTCAAAAACGACGAACTACACCTACACAGTGACTGGGTCACAAGTCAGTAACTTGATGAATTAATGATATGGTTTGATTTAAGCTTTTCTAATCCACGATATACATCAGATAACATCACACGATAAAGATTGCCCCCAACCAGGCATACACCAAATAGATATGCGCCACATAAATCATTCGATTTGTGTGAGGGTTGTGATACTGCCCGTGTGCCTAAACCGAAGCAGGTGGTTTTTTGCAGGAGGCCACACCCGGAATGTTTGTTATAAAGGTCTAATCCATAAAGCAGTGCAGCAACTTTGGGAGATGCAGTCCCATGGAAGCCGGTGACCAGTAATTGGTTCATACGCCATTCGTTCCCTCATGATACTGGAGCCCATGTACACCATTGGTTTGGAATCAGGGTTTTTCAACTCACCTAGGTAGACTCTCCGTGTCCGCCAACCCGGTTAAAGCGCTGGATAATCGCTTTTCTTCCTCTCAATTTCGTAAACAACAGTAGTGTCGTTAGAAGGCAGTGAGTAGGACATCCCTGGCAGTAGTTGTATGCTCATGGCCATATGAGAGCATTTCGAAAGAGACAAAGCTGACTCTGGCTATTGTCGGCCGTACCAGGGCATTTGGGGGCAGTCAATGATAAACGTTTCATAAACATGATAAATTCATGAGTAGTTTACTAATTCATCTTATCTGTTCAATACTATCTTCAATATGTTTTTTTTTCGATTTGATCTCATCCAGTTTCTTATCGCCCTCACTCATCTCATTCGTAAATATCCTCTGTTCATCCCTGTTAGTGGTTTGCCATTGGAAAAACATACAGATTGTGTAAGTTTAATTTGCTTGTAAAAGTGTTAGTAGTAGTAATTGTCGGTATTTTATATTAAATAACATTTATAAAAGGGTAATCATTGGTCTGCGTTGAGCTTAATTACATAGAACTGTGTTTACTGGAATAAACTATTCATTTTACTACACATTATAATTATAAAATGTGGATTGATGCGTATTTTCTGTTCAAGATTACAGTTCCCCTCATAAAGGTTGGAGGAAGCTCATTGGCACTTTTCAACAAATGTTTTATTAATTCATACAGGCACACATATTCGGGGTAGGATATATCTTTTCTGTGGAGGATACCATAGAACCCCCAGCATCGAGTGCTTCGATTAGCTTCTATTAAGATGAGGATATGGAAGCTACTATTATTCGATGAATACACGTTATATGCACATCAGAAATACACAAGTTTGGAATTCATCCACTCCTCAGCATACACATAGGCATAGATTCCATTGTATATATGTAAGGATTTATTATGTTCATTTGGTTTCTAGTGGAAGGTAGCGCGTCTGACTCCAGATCAGAAGTATGCATTACACACACACAGCAAAAACTGATCAAATTAATCTATGTACTTGAAGTATACATATAGGTATAGACGTGTTCAACTTAAGATATTGTAATCCGTTTTTACGATTGATTCTTTATATTGTTTCATGAGGCGAAGCTGCACTATCCCAAAGACATAGGTAGGTTAAGGTTGGATAATTAATTATTTGCATTGACTTTAACTGTATAAAACTATTCGATGGGATAAATTATTCATTATAATATAAATTTGAACTAATACATATCTTCTGTTCAAGGTATCATGTTGTTTCCAACTGACTGGTTGTTGGTGTCAATGAAATTCGTTCATTTTGTTCTAATGATAAAGCTTTCAATGTACATATCACCTTAGTGTGTAAAGGTAGGGAGGTCAAACGAAATTATGTAAATGGTGTGTACTACACTGTTATACAAGCAAATTCAACAAATCTTGTACAAACGTTTGTCTTTATACGTTTTGTATCAACAATGAAATGATATGTACTGGGAGATGACTTTCTTAAACAAACAGCCATTAACATCTGATAATACTGTTCAGACCACACCATTCAAATAAGTAGACGAGATATTTTACGAACATATTTGTGTCTTAGAAAAAAAAAGGATATTCGTATTTGGTTACAGAATATCTTATATGGTAGATGATGATTCATTTTGTTCTCAGTCTTAGGCTGTCGTTGATTTCGGAAGTTGTTTTTTTTATAGTTTAAACTGACTGACTTATGATGAATTTCAATCATCAAGGCAAAATTATCACGAACTGTTCCATCCCCCCCCCAAAAGCATAATGTATATGAGTACGTCAGTCAGTCAGTCAGCTACAACGTAGGACCAGGCACATATGTGCATCGGTCCAGGTTGCCATACCTCATTAGCACAGCAAGATGAACAGCGGATTCATAGGAGTGGTTAGGTCAAAGGTTGCAATAAGGATATAGTATAGGAAGAAAGAATTAGTTCGTAGACAGAAAGAATGAGGTTATTTTAGTCTCTTAGTTTAAGGGAAGACAGGGAGTGTATACACCGACGCCATTGTGATCGATTCTGAGCCATGTCACCAAGAGTCTCCAACCATTGGTTACGAAAGTCACGCGGACCCCAACCAAGTAGTCTGCATCTACCAACATGGCTCAGACTAGAAGTTAGTGACTTCAGGCACTGATGCCACGTTTTGGTTTGGCCGCCCCTAACTTTCTTCCAACCATCCCCTACCCCGGTTAGCATTGCACGTCGTGGTAATCGGTGTTCAGGCATACGTAATACGTGGCCCAACCATCTCAGTCGATGAAGATTCATAACCTCATCAACTGACTTACCACCATTCCCTAATACCCTGCGTCTAACCTCACTATTACTTACCCGGTGATCCCAACAGATGCCAGCAATATTTCTAAGGCATCTGTGGTCAAATACTAGTAACTTACGGGTGTCTTCTACTCTTAAGGGCCATGTTTCGCTGCCGTAAATTAAAACAGAACGGACTGCCGCGCAGTATACTCGTCCTTTTATTGATAGACGGATATCTCGCCTTCGCCAAAGGTGACGTAAGTTGGCAAAAGCCAAACGAGTTTTTCAAATCCGTGCTGAGATTTTGTCCGATACCAACCCATTAGGGCTGATCAGACTTCCAAGATAAGTGAAGTTGTCAACGCGTTCAACTACTTCACTCCCTATCCTTAGTTCAGGTGTTGACCCAGACCAGTCCTGAAGCAACAACTTGCATTTAGAGGGAGAGAAGCGCATCCCAAACATTCTGGCATTGTTGCTTAGTGCTGCCAGAAGACTCTGCATTTTGTCAGCGTCTTCACCAAACAGGACTATGTCATCTGCGTATTCTAAGTCGATAAGTGGACCTCCTGGAAGGAGATCAATACCCGAGAATATGAGTACGTACTGATGGAAAACTGATGTAAAGTAATGATTATGTAATGGTTGTCAGAATAATAACTGAATATTTGTAGTAAAACATACTTCAAAATCATAAGTATGTCAGAGTTGAATATTTTAAGTATAAATCAATTTATTCATCAGTTTTATTAAAAGTTATCTCCTATGTATCAGCGTTGATTAATTTTATGTGTATTTTCTTTTCTCTTTTTGCTATTTTGCTAGTTGAATGTAGCAATTACATTTTACAAATTAGGATTTATTATTACAGAACATAAAGTACATCAAATTAATGATGATGATGACGTTGATGAGAATATTACCATTGAAGAATCTAATGTAGATAATGTCAATGTATCTAATTCACATCATGATTCTAAATCTGAGATAGACAAAATGCTGAAAAATCGTTCATCATTAGTCAAGAATATTAAAGGTGCAAAAATTAATTGTGGATTGATCGGTTTAGAGAAAGTTAAAAATGACCAGTGCCCCATTGATGATAATGACGAAGACAACTTAATTGATGATGATGATGACGACGACGATTGTATCATAACTGAAAATTAAGAAAAATGATTTTTTTTTTGGTGTATAGAAGGAGTTGTACATTTTTTGATTGCTGTATATTCAAAACAAGAAGTTGAACAACGAGTACATCTCATTAAAGAATAAATATTATACTATCATGATAAATACTTGCTTCTTTTTTGTTCAACAAACTTTCTACAGTATAACGATCTATTTACAACTGGTAATTGAAATCAAGAGAACGATTAAAGTTGTATTAATAGACGTGTATTATAATAGTGCGTTTAGATACTGAAAATCAGTCAGCTACATCAATTCTGAGCGATGTCACCCAGAGTCCCTAACCAAGTAGTTTGCATCTACAAACATGGCTAAGAATAGAAGTTAGTGACTTCAAAGACTGATGCTATGTTTTGGTTTGGCCGCCCCTAACTTTTTTCCAACCATCCCCAACACTAGTCATACGTCTAGCAGCACTCAAGGATATAGAGGCACTTGGTTTAACAATTAATTATTTTAATGATTCTATACGAGGAACTTGTACCGTTCATAACAACATTTATTAATAAGGTGTTAATCTAAAAATCATAAAGCGTGATTAACTCACACTATAAATAGGTGCCAACTAAGCACACGTTGTAGTGAAGGTTTACAGTGCAGCATTCGTCACGCACTCAGGTGTTTTATTTTAGTAGTGGTGTGTCAAGCATACTTATGATCAAATACCTACAACCCACAGATTTCATACATGTAAAATAAATATTGTGCAGCATAATGATACTTGACTAGACAGTTTTGAAACTTTATGTGATTAGATCTAAGGAGAATGACTAATTTAACAACTGCACTGTAAAACTTTTCACGCAAACTGGCTGTTCCCTAAAGATATGTGATGTGAACTTATTTAAACAGCTTACTGTTAAAGCGAATATTAATATTCAGTCACAACCATTCTCATATTATTAGAGGTGTGTTTGAATTCTTAGCATGTGTTGTTGTTGTTGTTGCTGAGACGCTCTGTAGGTCGGAAAGTTGGCTTATAAATTAGTAGTTTTTACAAAGCACTAAATCTTGGAAAATCCTTTATTTTGGAAAGACGATTTTTTTCTTTACATAGTCAGTTTAAATAGATAACAGTTAAAGAAACACTTCGAGATCTAAATCTAAAGCTGAACAAGGCATCGTCAATTCAAAATTTCGTATAACATCAGGATGGAGAATACCCAGTCGTCCAATAATTTTATTGTCAGGCTCCAATATAATATCAGCACAACGACCATCAAAGTATGTTGGATCTAGAATAAAAATGTCAAATATACAATGATTTGAATATGTAGACAATTTCAGTATAATAAATATATCTTTTTCTTAAATCCCAATGGGTAGAAAGTGGTATTTCCGACGTTTTGTGACTTAATGTAAGTCACTTCTTCAAAGTAGATAAGTAATCGAAATAAATTCAATTCGTATTGTTTCCTTGGTTTTTAGGACTGCAATTGATCAGTCTCTTATTGGCAGACGTGCATAGTGTGCGTATTGCCTCAATTCACAATCATTATAAGCAAAGATGGATATTAGCTAGTAGTGGAGTCCAGGACGAGCGTTTCGTCCTATTTGAGACTCGAACACAGTGCCGTTCGCTTCAAACGCCACCACATGTTTGACCTTCTACCCAATGCTCAGTCTATTTAAAACTATCAAGTCAAACCTTAGCACTGATACCTACAAACACATTTGATTGACATTTTCCACCAGGTAAATCAATAGTTTAATGTATATCTTCTCAAACAAGTTCAGAAACATGACCTTGCCCAACTTGTGATTAGTGTGTAACAGAGTTAGAAGAAGAACAAATAGATAAATTGTAATATAAACAGTATATTCACTGTATACTAGAGTAAAGTATCATTAAGATCTAGTTTAAAAAAGCACCGTTCGCTGCAATATATTAGTCATTTCAGTTGACTGAAAAAAATATTTCAGATGTACATTGTCTTTCTTACTAACATTACTACAATTATTTTGACCCATTCCAGTCAGTCAGTGTACTGTTACCGGCATGAGGGCTGATATCACTTTTTAGCTGCCCACAACGTCGAAGGGTATTTTAGTGAGGAACTTAAAAACAGAGTTGGATTAATATTGGTCTTAACGACCTGGGAGCCCAAAGGATACCTGCTTGAGGTCGGTTGCGCACGACCTTTTTGTGGGAAGGTTTTAACGTGTTAGCTCCGTTCTTCAAAAAGACTTACCATTGGAGACGGAAATCCGTGAGGTAAGGTGAGGTATGACATTTTTAGGGTCGACCTTCTCTAACCCCTTCCATCGTTGTGAGAAAGCAGCATCGCTGCAGATGCTGGTTGCCCGAGGGAAACTGCTATCATTGGTCAGTAGCATGTGTCTTTTAGCGAGCTGGCCAAAATATGATGTTGATTTAACAAATGTTAACATCTATAAATACCCGTGTTTTCTGTACAAGATCGAACCTTTGGAGTAAAGGGTTTTCGCTTATTTCGCGCCCTTTCTCTCGAGTTCAGATCGCTGCGTAGTTCTAGCTTGCGGGTTACCAGAATCGCTTAGGACCCGAATAAAGCGTTCAAATTAACAAGACTTATCAGAAACACCTTACTGCTGTCACGCCCTTCTACAGTCAGTAGTACGACTTCGCCCTCAGAACTTGAGTTGCAGCTTTTAGTCTTACCATTCTCCAATCGACCTGGCTAGCATGGTAGAACCTACAAGAAGATATGTTCCAGCCAATATAGCTCGGTTGGGTCTTTACGATAGGCATGCCTGATCATCACGTCAAGGTAGCAGCTACGATCGAGATTTTGACCCATTTATTATATATGAATAACCAATTGACAGTGATACCAATCAGTAGAATAAAACTCACCGGATGTAGCGTTCAATCTATAACTCAAATTTGATTTTTTTTCATGACCATTAGATTTCTTTGTTGTTTTTGACAAAATTGATTCAACTTGTAACAATTGCATTAATCTATCTAACAAACCATGGATTATTTCAAAGCCAGAATTTTTATTGTAGTAAACTGCACAAATACGTCGATGATTGCTAGCGCCAACATCTACATAATAGATGAAGAAGTAAATTAAGGTGACTATGAATATATATATATATATCTCCTGAAAATAGTGTTTTTTATCTTTGTTCTATATAAAAGCATTTGTACAGCTTTTTTTCTTGATGCGCACTTCTGAGGAGTCCCACAATCGGACTGGACGGTCGTCCAGTGGTTCCAGGTTTTCAATGGTGGTCTAACATCGATCGGTTCATGATCTCAATCAAAAACTTAATAATCTCCACAACCCATAGTGATTATTTTCATCTGGCTATAAATATTAATGAACGCTGGATTAGATGGAAGTTGGCTCACACGTTTTCTCCACCGCGAGTCATTTCACTTCGCTCTGTTCTCTTTGCTTCATTCCTCTGATTTCCTGTTCAGATCAGTGTGTACAAAATATATGTGTTCAAAAATCTATTCACGTATTCGATTTATTTAACTCCGTTATTCACCGATGCGATTTAAGTTGATGATTATATATGAGGATTGACGATATGTATATGTCAATATCAATTACAAACAATCATACAGTGGTCTTGAGTGCTGTTAGAGGTATGAGGGCGGTTTTCACTTCCCGGTTGCCCACACCGTGGAAGGGTTGTTCTGGGGGTACCTGAAAAGGAATTTGGATTAAAGGTGGTCTTAGTGACTTGAGAGCGTGACCGCAGTGCCCAAGGGACAACTGCTTGAGGTCGGTCACACACGACCTTTTTATGAGTAATTTTTGTGTTAGCTCCTTACTTGTTGAGACCTTACCGCCAGAGACGGATATCCATGAAATAACGCGAGGTGTGCATTTTTAGGGTCGACCTTTTCTAACCCCACCCCTCCTTGTGGGAAGGCAGCATCGCTGTCATGCTGGTTGTCTGAAGGAAACACCTTACTGCTGTCACACCTCTGTACAGTCAGCAGTACGACTTCGCCTTCGGATCTTGGGTTTGTTGCTTTTAGTCTTACCGCTCTTCAACCGACCTTTCTGACATGGTAGGACCTTGAGGAACGGTTGTTCCAGCCAGTATAGCTCGGTTGCTTCATCACGATAGGCAAGCCCGACCACCACGTCAAGGTAGCAACAACGGTCTTTCTTCCTATACTATATCCTTATTGCAACCTTTGACCTAACCACTCCTATGAATCCGCTGTTCATCTTGCTGTGCTAATGAGGTATGGCAACCTGGACCGATGCACATATGTGCCTGGTCCTACGTTGTAGCTGACTGACTGACAAACAATCATACGATCTAACTGGAGTCAGATATCGGGTCACTAAAGATACAACAAACAAGCTCAAACTCAAAACATCTTACAGTAAGAATTATACTATTAAGATATACAACTGAAAATAGAATAGTCTATATAGACTTTAACTTTAGTGAATCATTCAACACTTAACCAACTACTATAATTGATATTTAATACAAAGGGTTTGTGGAGACTGTTCCATTTTATAGTTTATATGACAAACTAACTGTAGTTACGCAATAATAAATAGTTTTGGGTTCGATTATTCATATGCTCGGTTGTAGTTGTACGGTGTTAAAGAGTCTCATTCTGAGAGGAAACAGCTGACCAATCCTTTTTTAACTAAGGTTACTCCCAGAAATAAACAGTAGTATATATGTATATATATTCTTACCTTTAGATGGATTTTTCAGTACAATATCTTGAACTTCAAATAATTTCAAAGGTAATGGTAAACTTTTATTACTGGCTAATGTATTCAACAATCCTGGTAATAAACTGGTTCTGACAACCTGGACATGAAAGAAGAGGAAAATATGCATGAAAAAGAAAATTATTCAACAAAATTTAAGGAGTACATAACACTAAACATTAATAATCAGAATGAGATTTTGTGAAGACTAATTCGATGGAAAAATTGATAGTAAAAAGAAAAGATCAAAATGTGTTGGATATCCGCTTTATCTTACGTGTGTAGACTCCTTATAAATGAACACTAAGCACGAGAGTTGAATCAGGAACATAAGATATATTGAGCATTATACTGAGATTTAGATGGTGGTTGGAGGTAGTCAACAGGAAACCCTGGACCCGGGTTTCGTACTACTTGGCACTCATCAGCAAGGTGTACCTGTAATCTTGAGGGAACTGGTGCTCCCTGGCAGATTCGATCTCGTTTCACCGAGCTTCACAGTCAGAGACGTTACCACTGAGCTATCCGAGCCGTGACTAACCTCCTGTAGGACTGAGATGTAATCACAATTGATTGATCACTGGGTGGTGATCAATAAGGACTAGACAAGCATGACATTGATCACCACCCAGTGATCAATCAATTGTGAGCATTATACTTTTAGACAACCTGAGACAAAATCCAATAATGAACATCCCCAAATATAATCAAGCTAAGATGCTATGCAACTATAATAATCTAATGTCATCAGTAGTAATTATTCCATTACTTGATAAGGAAGTATTTTACATATTAACAATGTTGGAGAAAATTTGTAGCTCAGATAGATGATTTTCGTGGTGTTCTCTGAGGTCGGCTGTTTAATTGCTCTGTTTTCGTTATCATTCTGGGAATAAACGTTGTTTTAACGAATGTGAGTGAAGGTTTTGTAATTAGGCTATTAAACTTAATGAACGAAACACAAATAAAAATCTCTTATTAATATTTTATATTGTAGTGTATATTACTTATATCGGTAGACATAAGTAGTATGTAACATCAGTCGGAACTGGAATGCCTTGTAACAGAAAGCTAATAAGATCGAGTTGAAGAAAACAGGAATGAATTGTGAATTGGAAGAATCATACAGAATGTGAAGGACAATTGATGGAAGATTCCCAACTGAAGTATTAAAATGTATGGTTCTCATAATTTACCAAGATATTCTGTAATTCTGTATTAAACACTAAGTTGGTTATCCATCAACTGAGTTCTTATTCATTACTTGCAGTGATATATGAACATCTGAGTTTTAACTTTATTTCATGACATACATTCCATGAATACATTCCTTTTAGTCTTTTATTTTTTTTACTATTACTGATACTACAACTTCTACTGGATTAGTACTTATCTGATTAAATTTATCACATTGTACTAATGTAGTACGATGATTTGGATTCATGAACCTTTGCACTAGCCCCTCTATCGATGAAGAAGGACAACAACGGCATCGGCATCTATAATTAATAACATTATTTCTAACATATAAAGAAGTATATTCCTTAACTACATGGATAAGATATATAACATAATCGATTGTTTATTAGTATAATAAGTGTCGTTTTACTTAGTGTTGATAGCATTGTATTCACCAAATTATAAACTATTCAGGTATTGAATCATGTTTAGGGAGACAAATATTAGGGGAATTCTGTAATTAAATGTGCTACGATATTCGTTACAAACGCGTATCTAAGATTATGATAAAATTAATGGTTCGCTGATAGACTCTACCAATAAATGAATAGCAATGTTATATTTAGGGTAATTCATTGATGACTTACTTGAAAATCAAGCGTTTTAGGATTAGATATGTGTACAGCTGGGATATCATCTAATTTTTGCCTCAGTTTAGTACTGATATCTTCCCTGGAGCACTAAAATACAACGGAGTAAAAAACAAAACAGTATAGCATTCATTATTATTATTTACATGTACGCCCCCACCCCTGATATGGCCGAGAGTGGGGAGAGTCAGCTCTCCTTCTTCTAATGCTCTCACATGGCCATGTGCATACAACTACTGCCAGGGATGTCCTATTCAATGCCTTATCGCAGCATTACTGTTGTTTAAGAAATTCAGAGGACGAAAAGTGAATGTCCGGCGCATCAACTGTGATGGTGGACATGGAGAGTCCACCTAGGTGAGTTGGAAAACCCTGATTCCAAACCAATGCTCCACATGGACTATAGGATCCTGAAGGGGCAAATGGCTTATGAACTTATTGTTGATCACCGACTACCATGGGACTGGATCTCTTGACGTTGCTACACTGCCTTGTGGATTAGACCTTTGGGTCGAAGGCTCCAGATGTGACCCCCTAAGAAGACCACCTGCTTCGGTTTTGGCACCCGGACAGCATCACAGCCTACATACAAATCAAGCGACTTGTGTGGTGCATATCTGTTTCAGAAGCCCTAATCTCAAAATATAACTCAGTCTGATGGTCACGATATGCATTTAGTCTAGCCATCACCACTTTTTTAATGTAATTCTATTTAAGTCAGGATAAGTAGTAGATGGGGACAAGTAACAAATGTCCTAATCACTCTCGTCAGTCAGTCACAACGTAGAACCAGGTACATATATGCATCGGTCCAAGTTGCCATACCTCATTAACACAACAAGATGAACACTGGATTCATAGAAGTAGTTAATTCAATGATGATGGTGATATATAAAAGAAAGATTGCATATAAGGATATATTACAGGGAAAAAGAATTAGTTCATAGAAAGATATGTAGCGATTCTAATCTCTTAGTTTAAGGGAAGACAGAGAGTGCATACACCGACGCCATTGTGATCAATTCTGAATCATGTTACCAAGAGTCTCCAACCATTGGTTATGACAGTCATGCGAACCCCAATCAAGTAGTCTGCACTAACATGGCTCAGATCAGAAGTTAGGGACTTCAAGCACTGATGCCACGTTTTGGTTTGGCCGCCCCTAACTTTCTTCCAACCATTCCAACACTAGTCAGCATTGCGTGTTGTGGTAATCGGTGTTCAGGCATACGAAATACGTGGCCCAACCATCTCAGTCGATGAAGATTCATAACCTCATCAACTGATTTAGCATCATTTCATAATACCCTGCGTCTAACCTCACTATTACTTACCCGGTGATCCCAGCAGTATTTCTAAGGCATCTGTGGTCAAATACTAGTAGCTTATGAGTATCTTCAACTCTTATCAGTGGTAACGTTTGAGAACTATTCATGGACAAATATCATATATATATTCCTAATGTATAACTATTCAGTAGCTCCTCTTAGTACAAGCTTTACCTTGACCTATAAGCTATTATTATACGATTTACCATTCTTGAGTTATGCTCAGTCTATCAATGACAGTCTCCCACATTCGCAACCATTTTCGGCTAGATCCTGTACAACTTTTTATTTCCATTTTAAAGTAAGATGTAGTCTGTTTGGTTAGTATATAAACTCAGTATGTTTGAAATACATGATTCACATTGCAGAGGTTGAGATTGGTGTTCTAGACTTAACAAGCAGGTCTCAGCAGGAAGAAGGACCGATAAAGACTCTAGACTGCTCGTACGGGTTTTATGCGTTAATGATCCAGTCGATAAATCACTGTTCTCTAATTGACGTTATCATTACATTATATATTAATAGGGCACAAGGTCTACAACAACAAGACAATAAGATTAGACATCAGTGCAATATGTAATAAGTATACGATTTAATTACAATAACATTTGTGGAATTTTACTTTGTTAACGAAATTTACTTATTCCAAGATGAAATGATATAATTAATACATTATTAACAAGAGTTACATAATACATATGTTATATCCGAGTGGAGATTAAATTACAGGTAACTTCCGAGGACTATTCATGGACTAATATCCTATAAATATTCTTGTTGTATAACTATTCAACAATTGCATTATGTATATTTGTATCCCTCTTATGACAAGCTTTATTTTGGCCTATAATTTATTATTGTACGATTTACGGTTCTTAAGTTATGTTCAGTTTATTAACTACTGCCTCCCACATTCACAGCCACTTTTTGGGCTTATTTGTGTACAAATATTATTTCCTATTTTATGGTACGTTGCGGTCTGTATGATTGATATATAAACCAAGTATGCCTGAAATAAACGATTTGCTCTGATTCGGAAGCTGGTATTTTTGTTCTGGACTCAAGTGGAAGGGCTCGTAGGACATAGGACCAATAAGGACGCTAAACTGCCCACACCGGTTGAACGTCATTGGTTGGCCTAGTGTGAAGATTCGTATAAGTCGTATTCGGATTGGTAGATAAATCGTGTGATAGAAAAGTCAGACATTCAAGGTCATAACAATTGGCGACGGGGTGGAGAAAAGTTTTGAACCCTCAACTTCAAGGTCATAACAACATATATCAGTCTATAGACATGATTAGTGCATGGTTACTCTTAGGACACTGGAACGTTTCTGAAAGTATAGAGTGAAGGCTTCTACTTCCCACTTGTCAGTAGAAATGGTAATATACATTCCATTTGTCAGTCTATACAGAAAACTTCAACGAATTGTATGATCAAGAAATGTCAACATAACAAAATAGCCAACGAGAATCCCAACACAAGCAAATATACTAATTTATGAGGATAACAAATCTATCGAAATAGACTGATATGGGACTTATGAAATAAATTTATAATCCTCACTGGTTATTTATTCTAAGCAGACATTAATGAAGTTGATCGAAATAGCAATGAGAATTTAACAATGAAAGTCATCTACCTCATAGAATGGAACACATCACTAGAAGCATCTATATGAGTTTCATAAACTCTTTTCACTAAACAACTTCTGTTTAGTTGGCATTTAAAAGATTACTTACTTACTTACGCCTGTTACTCCCAGTGGAGAATAGGCCGCTGACCAGCATTCTCCAACCCACTCTGTCCTGGGCCTTCTTTTCTAGTTCCATCCAATTCTTGTTCATTTTTCTCATATCTATCTCCATTTCTCGGCGTAATGTGTTCTTTGGTCTTCCTCTTTTCCTTTGACCTGTGAAGGCTTGTCTTGTGACGCAGTTGGGTGCTTTTCTCAATGTGCGTTCTATCCACTTCCAGGGCTTCTTCCTGATTTCTTCCTCCGCTGGGATCTGGTTTGTTCTCTCCCATAATAGAATGTTGCTAATAGTGTCCGGCCAATGGATCTGAAGTATTTTGCGTAGACAATTGTTAATAAACACCTGTATTTTCTGGATGATGGCTTTTGTAGTTCTCCAGGTTTCTGCCCCATACAGTAGAACTGTCTTGACATTTGTATTGAAAATCCTGACCTTGGTGTTGGTTGACAGTTGCTTTGAGTTCCAGATGTTCTTCAGTTGTAAATATGCTGCTCTTGCTTTGCCGATCCGCGCCTTCACATCTGCATCAGACCCACCATAGTCATCAATGATGCTGCCCAAATATGTAAAGGTTTTTACATCTTCCAAATCTTCTCCGTCAATTGTGATTGGATTGGTGCATTCTGTGTTGTATCGGAGAATCCTGCTTTTCCCTTTGTGAATATTGAGACCTATTGCTGCTGAGGCTGCTGCTACACTGTTCGTCTTCTCCTGCATCTGTTGTTGCGTTTGGGATAGAAGGGCCAGATCTTCTGCGAAGTCTAGATCATCCAACTGCATCTTAGATGTCCATTGTATCCCGTGCTTCCCTTCAGACGTTGACGTCTTCATGATCCAGTATTCAAAAGATTAATAAACATTATTTATAATGTCAAGCCTTAGTTATTAGTATTTTCATTTTATGAAACTAACCCACTGATTTTATTCTGAATAAATTGTACAAATTTCATTGTTGGTTGAAGAAATACCAACTTACTAATGAGAAACTTAATGCTTCAGTAAATCCCATTTGAGCTATTTCAGCACGAATAAGATCTGTCAACCGACTGATTGGTTGATTACCAGCTACACAATAGGTTTGTGGTAAACATTCAGGTATATTATCATAACCGAATGCAATCCCAACATCTTCAGCTATATCACATGCATGTAAAATATCATGCCTTGTAGGTGGTATTCTTACAGAGATTAGACCAGTTGCATTTTGACCTAAAACGAAATGAAAAGAGAAAGCAGATTAGAAATATTGATTCATATGAATCTTTTTTTTTGGAAAAAAGGGAATCCCAGATGTTTGGAATTGACGTAGGGAGAAGTGACTAACAAGAATTATCTGTGACACTTTTATTTTAAAGGTTTGCAATACCATATTGTTGAAACTCTGGGCTGTAATTGATCAGTCTCTGTTATCATATGTGTATCCTGAGGGAATTACCTTGGTATAAACTTTGTCTCAAGTTTTAGCATAGTTGGTACTTGACAAGCCAATGGGAACTAGAATGTACGTTTTATCCCTTTTGAGACTCGCTAGCTGGATGTTTCTGCATTCTAGCGTTGACATACGAACTGTGACTTGAACCCGGAGTGTTGTCCACTGAGCTACAGAGTCCAGAGAATACACATGAGAATAGAGATTGAACAATTGCAGTTTTGAATACCAAAAACAGAAAATTACAAATCCTTACTGATGTCTAATTACCCGTTGATCATATTAGTTGTTAAATGGACTTCACAGCTCAGTAGATAATTTATTGCGTTTGGGATGAAAACTGTTGATTTTGAGTCTTAATGTGAATATCAACACTTGGGTGAAAATAAATCCAGATGACAGATCTCAAAAAGGACAAAACGCAAGTCCCAAATTCCAGAACTACTCACAATCCAGTTTTACTAAAAGAATATTCATAATGTTGAGAAAGCGCTTTATACTAGTGAGATTCAGAAATGCATTATCAGTATTCTCCACCCAACTCTGTACTGGGTAGACGTTTTCAGTTGCTATTCATCCTTTTCATACTGGCTTCCAATTAAAGACGTAGTCTGTTCTTTGGTGTCCCTCTTTTCCGCTTCCCTTCGGGATTCCAAGGTGGAGCTTGCCTTATGATGATGTTTGGTGATTTACGTAATGTATGTCCTATCCACTCTCAACATCTTTCCCTGATTTCCTCTTCAACTTCAAGCTGGTTTGGTCTCTCCCACAAAAGGCTGGTTCTGATGGCATTCAACCAACGGACATTCAGTATCTTACGTACACAAATGTTTATAATTACTTGTATCTTCTTGATGATGGTTGCAGTAGTTTTCCACGTTTCAGCACCCTACAATACAACTGTCTTGATGTTCCTATTGAACATTCTCACTTTGGTATTGGATTTTAAATGATTCTTTTGAGTTCTATATTATATGTTCTTCAATTGTAGAAATGTGGCCTTTCTCTGCCAATCCTCGACTTTACATCTGTATCCGATCCTCCTTGTTCATCAACGATGCTGCTGCTGCTGCTACTAACCATTAACGTGAAAAATTCCACATCATTCTAATGTTATTCAGTAGAGTGAATATCATGTTTTACCAGTTTCCTCAACAATACAATGTGATATCCAGTCTCTTTTTACTTTCATTACGTAACATCCACTTGATAGTTTTGCTTACTTAGTAACAAGCAGCTTTTTGGTTGTTTGCTTTGTTTTCTTTAAAACAAACACACACACCCACACATACTGGCTCTTGTTCTGTTTTCTTCTTTCATTTCATCAGTTTGATGTGACGTTTCTTTTGATTTTCAAAATGGAAAAACAACTTGTTTATCTCCTTTTTAAAACGACTCAAAACAAGAACAAAATTTGCAGAATCAATTTACACCTTCCATCTACAAATCAGCTTGTTTTTATGTTTGTTTAAATTTATCAAAAACCGATCAGATTTCTATCAAAACAATTCACTCATCACATCACACTATACTGATACATTTTGGCATCCAGTGTTCATTAGTTCTCTTAATTACAACTTGATCATTTAGTTTCAGGATTTTCAAAGTTGTACAAGCACAAGTAAATAGTGTAGATTATACAAATTATAAAGACTTGACTACTACTACTACTATCAAAAATAATAGTAGTAGTGTGGAGACAGTTAAATGTTGTTGGACTCTTGTCAAATCATTCAACAATCGGGTGATTGAATGTTGAACATTTTACAGATCCTCTTCAAGGTCTAGCATAGCCAACACGCATCAGTTCATTGCATACCATGGACTGGCTCATAGGACAGTGGTTGTGCTCTGTTTCTTATACCTATTCTTACTAATACGTTCCTGTAATATCATTAAGTTCGTTTAACACTGTCATCAAAGTAGCCACAGTATCTGAATGCGACGAAAGGCTAATCCAAACATGGTTGGTCACGTCAACTCGAGTAGACACCCAAACATCGAAACTCATCACCTACTTTGGTGATCAACAATAATAACTATTACAATTACATTTGTAACAATCAACTAATTTCTAGATAGAAATGTCCACTGTAACATATTCATATAGTAAACTTTATATAAACCATGACAGAAGGTACAATTCACCTATCAATATGATCTAGGAACCATCCACTTCTGTGAACATTGATCTCATATTACAGCTAAGGTTTTCAATTGACATTATTTGGAAGGATAAAGAGTAGGAAAATGGTGATGGGTCAGAAGAAACAGGAAAAACTCTACAGACAGTTAAGAAAACGAAAACTGTCTGCTCACTCACAGTTGGTCATCATCTGATAAAGTTGAGGCCTGTGACGTTTTAAAGCTTATAGTTAATCTTCAGAATGCCGTCAGGATGGTGGAATGTTCTGAGTACATTTCAATTATGAAGCGTCTACTCCCAAATCGTGTTAGCTGGATATATAGATATCACACTTCTATCCTTAACATCTACAACGGGAAAACACAATCACCTACATCTGGTCAAATATCTTCTACACTAAATTCAACTGTTTTTGTATACTGTAATCGGTAACATTTCGTCGGATATTGTTTAAATGTTTTGTAACTGAATACTAATAGTATTTGTGCTACATAGTAAATTCCTTGTCAATTATTCAGCTTCCGATTTCGATTACGAAATTCGAAACCTTCGATTGTACTCCCGGAGTTCTCTCTGACTTAAGTACTCGTCCATAAGTAACGATTAGTGTAAGAATTTATTTTGATAGGAACTCAAATACTGGTACTGTTGATTTGATGTTCAAAACGTATTTTCAATCTTTCATACGGTTCAGCAACACTGTGTTGGAAACCTTTCCTAGCACTGACAGTAATGTGATGCCTCCATAGTTCTCACATTTGCTCAGATATCCTTTATCTGGTATATTGATGAGTTATCCTTCTTTCCAGTGTATCAATGATACTTGTTGCTCCTTCCAAGTATTCCTGATTAGAACGTGAAGCATGTTTGCAGTAATGTCTATATCTGGCTTCAGTGTTTCAGCTAGTATATTGTCAGGTCCTTCTGCTTGCCTGATCTTGATTTGTCTGATGACCATCTTGATTACTTCGATCGTTGGCGGGAGGGGGGACGTCGATAGGGATATATTTACACAAATACGAAAAGTCGTTAGGGAATTTCCAGATACGTAAAAGGTTGGTCACATTGTTTCTCTATACTGAATAGATGGGGCCGAATGAATAACAACACCACAAACACTACAGCACGATTTCACTGTCATAGATTGTATTTTTTTTAGAGCTCTTGGTCTTACATATCTCCAACAGACCAATCTAGTTGGATAGAACGTCAGAGATTAAGGAATCCAGGTAATATAATTCAATAGAGTCGTTAGAGTAAAAAAAATCCAATCATTGGATCAATGATGACTGGTTTAATCAACCATAGGATTATTCACATCATACAATAGCATGAATCAAAATCTTAAGTCGAAAACCTTTTTTTATCACATTAAGGCAACAGTACTATCCTATCAGATAAATCTATACAATCGATTATTTCAATAAAACATTACCTGTTGAATCTTTACATTGATTCGACGATACAGTTGTACAAGTGAAACCCATACGATTTAATAAATTGATCACTTCTGTTTCAGAAATATTAGTACCTAATTGACGATTGATATAATCAATACTGACAACTTCATCACGATAATCTAGACGCTAAAATGAAAATGAACTAAATATAATAATAATAATAACAGTATAGTATTTTGAAGAGATAATATGACATTGAAAATCAAGTGATCCATGATGATGTAATGGGATAGAATGAAGTCTAATAATAGACAAAGCTTAATTCACTAGATAATAAGTAACTTAGCAACTGACTAACCCCCAAATGTTTATGAATTGATTCTGTTTTCTGTATTTTTAAATATTTTATATACAAGCCTATTGTTTTCATAAGATCAAACAATCAATTCATTTAGTTAATAGTTGTGTCAATAATCAAGAATATAAGCTTCACACTATGGTCAATTATACTGTACTTTATTCTGAAGCAATTGGGGAGGAAAAAAGAAAAAAAACACTAAGAAAGTTTACTTATACTTTAAGCTGATAATGACCATAGTATGAAATGTGTAGATATTTATAGAAGAATGAGGGGGTCATTGACAATCACCAGATAAAAATATTAGTTTCAAAGACCAATATTTAAATTTTAGTATTAGAAAGGGGGTTTTGTGGAGATTGTAGTAATTTCAATCGTTGAGATCATGAGTCGATTGAAACTAGAACACCATGGAAAACGTGGAAGCACTGAACGGTCACCTCGTCCTATTGTGGAACTCCTCAGCAGTGCGTATCTACGACTTCGCCTTGCGGCATTCGAAACCAGGATCCCTTCAGGTACTAGTCAACATATGCTCACTAGTGACTGGCTTGCAGATGTATATCCTGGAGTTCTAGTGAGAAGCAGTGACTAGTGAAGTTCGACTGGGTCAGTTGTGAGATAGTAATTCGCTGATGACAATGGTGGATGTGTCGCTCAATTTCGTGGATTATTTGAAGTTAAACATTAACACCGTTGGATGCCAACCGGCTCAGCGATCTAGAGGTTAGGTCCTGGGTTCGGATTTCGTGAGGCGAGGTCGTGGATGCGCACTACTGAGGAGTCGCACAATAGAAAGAAACGGCCGTCCAATGCTTTCACATTTTCCATGGTGATCGTCTAGCTTCCATTGACTCATGATCTCAACTATTGAAATTTAAATTTTACTCAATGGACTTAAATATTTTGAAATGGTAACATTAAAACAACCTTGTCTTTACCTAACTGCAGTCGGATTTCCGGGGAAACGAAGTATTTCACAGTTATTTAAAATAAAATAGTTTACCTAAAGCTACGATAGAATACTCACTGGATATAAAAAACGACTGCCATCATGTTGAATAACTTCGACAGATTCAGCGCTACAAAAAAAACAAAATTATTCGATAAATGTTTGTACTGAAGAATGTCTGTTGATGTGTAGATTTATTTTAAAAGGATACTCTGACTAAATTTTATTTTATTTATTTATTTAAGCACGTAAATATTGTTACAAGGAGGCACAAAATGGATGTACCACATAAATCATTCGATTTGTGTGAGGGCTGGGATACTGCTCGAGTGCCCAAAGCGAACCAGATGGTTTTCTTAAGAGGGCTACACCCGAAGCCTTCAACATAAAAGTCTGATCCACAAGGAAGTGCAACAACGTTAGGAGATGCGATTCGATGGTAGCCGATTACCAACGATTGGTTCATACGCAACTTGTTCCTTCAGGATACTGGAGCCCATGTGCACCATTGCTTTGGAATCAGGGTTTTCTAACTCATCTAGGTGGACTCTCCGTGTCCAGCGACCCGGTTAAAGCGCCGGATAATCGCCTTTCGTCCTCTCAATTTTTTGAACAACAGTAATGCCATTAGAAGGCAGTGAGTAGGACATTCCTGGCAGTAGTTGTATGCATGTGGCCATATGAGAGCATTTCGAGAGAGACAGAGAGCTGACTCTCCTACACTCGGTCGTACTAGGGCATTTGGGGGCACTAAATTACTTGTTAAATTGAGGAAGCATTGTCATGTTAAGTGCGATATTAATCATAAGAGTACTAGGAGACACTTGAATGCCATTCAGAATACATCAGTCTAATAATATCGAGATTATCACTAGATTTCATACGAAAAGTGGGGACTGTTATTGATAAAATATGTCATCTATTAATGGAAAGAGATAAAAATTTAATGTGAAAACAAAATAAACCCAACTAAATATCCAAACATTTTGAGGTTTATTTCATTTTCTGGAAACCCAGAAGAACTGAACAACGACTGAGACGATTTCAGTGAGTCAGTCAATCAGCTACAACGTAGGACCAGACACATATGTGTATCGGTTAAAGTTACCACAACTCATTAGCACAAGAAGATGAACACAGAATTCATAGAAGTAGATAATTCAGTAGTGGTCCTTTAAAACTGTTGAAGAATGGAATTCATGAGTTCTTTAACCTCAATAACAATCAATCCATCAACTTTATCATGATCAGCAGAATGTTAGAATTCTTACATATCACAAGTTATAAAACACATCAGATGCATAAGTGAGACATTTATGTTACAAAACCAGGTTATTTATCGTTAACTGACTGATATTTTTTTAATTGTAGAAAATATAATAATTAATGAGTTAAAAGATACATTACAAATATTCATGAATATGTAGAACTAGTTCAAGTAAAGTATTGATATCCATGTTTATAATACTGACTATTATTAATTCATATTCAGTTTATTAAATAGAATACAATGGATTACAAATTCATCTAGACTCTTCCCACTTGAGTTGCTGTTATATCGTGATGAAAATAATGAATAGCAGTAACTGTTGGAATCTATTTCTGGACTAATACTGTACATATATTCTTATTGTGTAGTTGTCAAATGTCTAAACTATCTGCATATTCATGTTCCACTTATTATGAGCTTCATTTTGATCTATGAACTATTATTATACGATTTACGATTCTCGAGTTATACCCAGTCTATCAAGTACGATCTCCCACATTCACAGACACTTTTAGGCTAAATCTTGTACAAATGTGTATTTTCTATTTACGGTATGATGTGGTCTCGTTGACATGTATATAAGCCAATCTTGTTTGAAATATATGATTCATACAGTGGAAGCTGTTATTGGCGTTCTGAACTCAACTGGAAAAGTCAGGCAGAAAGAAGGACCGATAAAGACTCTAGACTGCTCGTACGCGTTTCATGCATCATTAGCCTGGTTGACAAATTACTGTTCTCTCATTGGCGGTATCATTACGTTATACATTGATAGGGACACAAACTTACCAATTATAACAACTATAAATCATCACTATCATCTGACAACCCATCAATTAATAGAGACATTAGACAATTAAAATAACAACAACAAAATAATTGCGCTTTTAAAGAGAAAAATAGAGAGCTTACGTAAATGGTTCCTCACAATACTCTGAGAACATTGTGATAAGTGTATCGAGAACAACAATAGCTTTGTGTAAATCAGTTCCAGTTGCTTCAATAAAAACGTTTCGTGTTTTAGTAGAAATACGAGAATGTTCACCTGAATAATTAATAATAATAATAATGTCAATAAAAGCACAATATGGGTCATATTTGAAACAATCAAAAAAATGGGACATAGTTATTTAAATGAAGCACAAATAACAGAAATTTAAGCAAAATATTCTGCCCATTAAACATATCACTACGGTGATTATAATTACATATGTTACACAATAATTCGTGTTATATTGTGATAAAATGGTCAATGTTTCTTTAAAGCTTTCAAACGATGAAAAATGTTTTAAAATATAATCCACAAGACAGAAATTGACAGTCATGAAAACAACAAACTCAGTTGTCATACAACAACAGTTGCCATACGTAACCGTTAAGATATTTAAACGACTATTAACTGATTTCGTGAACTATCAACCAACTAATATGGCTGATAGATACGAAAGACAGAGAGGATATTGCCTACAAATATGAACAATAGTAATCAGAGTAAGTAAGAACAAAAGATTAAAATGGATCTCCTACTGGTCAGAAATAATACCATCATTAACAGTAAGGTAACAAACTGCCTACTAAAACGTTAGGCAACATAACTTGTAGTGATTAAAAAGGTATTAACTTTTTCTAAACCCTGAACATATATTTTATATCGTTGTTATCGCTTTTTATAAATTATGACTGAATGCTTTCAGTTATCATTTTTAAACTGACTCATTTATCAACTAGTTGGCTATAAACTACACTATAGTTAATAGGGCTAATGATGTGATGCGTGCTACTTATGTTAATCTAAGCAGTATATGTTGCAAGTCAGGAATGTAATGTCTGGCAGCAGAAGATGGGGAAGATCAGGAAAGGAAGAGCGGGAATAGAAAGCAATTAGTAAGGAAATGCAAGGGAAACGAAGTTCGAGACAATTATTGAACATTTTGCAAATTAAGTATTATAGTATGATTTTTCTATTTTACCAAGCAACTCTGTAATTTTGTGCTAAATGTAATTCGATTGTCCCTATTCGTGTTCTGTTCACTACAATGATACTACTCAGCTGCGTAAACCGATATACGCGTGGAGGAATTCCAACGCGAGACCCAGTGGTTGAAAATCCAAAACACTGATATACATTTTTTGAGAAATGTTATTTAAACATAAATACAGCTCACCGTTTATTATTGGAGGCATTGATAGAACAGTATTGGAACTGTCGAAAATAATTGGATATTTAGGTTTATCTTGAATTAATGAGAGATATTGTTTTAAATGTGAATCACTCTAAAATAAAAATTTAAAAAAACTAGGCAGTTCACAACACTAAAATTGGATTATGTGTTCATGAGACTAACTGATGTGCTGTATAAATAAAACGTTTAACCTGAGTTAGAACTCCCTAAGGTTGAAGGGGTTCAATTCACCTTATTGAAGGTTGTGGTAAAAAAGTAAGGGATCGCAATAGTATCCTATTCTGACCTATGTCTAATGTTTTGTGCCAATAACTGCACCACGGCAATATGTTATGGACTAGCCATTTCTAAGCTTCTTCCACCCTATTCCAGAGCTGGTAAATGGTGAGAGATGAGGAAGCTACTGAGATGACATCCATAAAACATGACTAATTAGTCAGAGTCAGTGTTCTAAGATGGAGACACTAAATCCGAAAATGCATTATCGAACATTGGGATTACTGACCAGACCAAAGAGACACTACATCATGTGCAACCTGACCGAAAAAAATCGATCGACACTAAGATCTAGATAAACACAACATTGGCGGAAAAGAGGAAAACTAAAGGACACATTGCGTCGGGAATTGGAAGTAGACATCAAAAGCATGAACAGCACCTGGAAGCAACTGAGAAGGGTTGACCAGGACAGAGTTCGATGAAGAATGCTGGTGGTCGGCTTGTGCTCCTCCACGAGAGATAACAGACGTAAGTGTTTAATATGTTAATCAACTATCTATTCCATATCTCATTATATTTTTCAATTGACCGTTCTATGTTCATGTTTTTGATACATAACTTCTATATGATACTTGCTAGTAGTAGTAGGACGTGTTTACTGCGCAGCACTTCGTTCCGTCCTACTTTATGGCAGTAAAACATAGTCGGTAAGAGCAGAGGATATTCGTAAGTTACTAGTATTTGATCATAAATGTCTTCGAAACATTGCTCGTATGTACTGGGACTATCGAGTAAGTAACGCAGTAGTTAGGAAACGGGTACTAGGTAAGGATGGCAAATCAATTGATGAAGTAATCAAACTTGACCATTTGAGATGGCTAGGACACGTGTTACGTATGCCCAACTACCGACTACCTCGACATGCGATGTTTTCTGGTGTAGGAGGTTGTAAGAAAGCTAGGGGCGGCCAGACCAAAACATGGCACAAGTCCATAAACATTAATCTAAGACTAAAAACTGAAAAACATTTCTTTGCTCCATTCGGTTTCTAAAATATCAGGATCGGGACTTTCGCTCTACTGAAATCTGAAACTCAATAAATAAAAAAGTATTGCATGCATAATTCAAGGATTGGAAGCCGGAATGCTAAACTACCAATATCTCAAAAACATCTTTAAATGTAAATATTACTATACGTAATGGATGTTTAACAAAGAAAAGCGATTTATACCCAGCAAAGACTCACAGAAAATATTTGCATTAGTTCTTCAGCACTATGCTCTTCAGTTTTGTTCAACGCTTTAAAGCGAATATCTTTAGGACATTTAGCATCATAGAAGAAAGGTGGATTTAAAGTGTCCAAATCATGCGCTCCAATGGCCACTAAAGATCGTTTTCTAAAAGTGTATTAAATGTTCATAAATTCAAGTCAGGACACAGATTATGATTGTAACGAACAATAGAGAAAAGGTATTACTTACAACCAAAGTTACTGTTACCTCTATTTGACTTTCTAAATATGAAATTAAAAGTTTCGAGGTAATTAAATGATTACTTTTGAAGATTCCATAAATTACAAATTTATTAACAGTATTAAAAATGGTAAATTAAACCACCACGCAAATACAGTAATATATAGTAACTTTACTTGTTAAACGCAACAATAATCGTCGTCCTTTGCTTATTAGTTAAACGGTGATGATGATAAAACTGAATAAAGTATCTTGACAAGATGATAAAAGTAAATAACTGAGGTCAAAAAGCAAAACTAACAAATGAAACCCAACCAATTAATAAAGAAGTAAAGTTTCATGAGAGACAATTTCTAGTTGATTGTGTTGGTTCTGTCGAAGGACACAGAATCCAAAGTTGTTACAGACAAAAACTTTAACTGAACTTGCTGATCATAGAAAAACAAAGTCTATTCGAACCACGAGTCGATGGAAGCTGCTACATGAATTAGAAAATGTTGTATATAGTTTAAAAACAAAACAGAATGAAACAACTTAAGTCAATCTATCAATTGAAATCGATGTATAAATGTGGCGGATTTTGCACTTTCACGCAATCGCTGCTAAAAGTTTTAGGACATTCTGGTCAATAAATAAGACTTCTAACCATGTGGATGCTAAGATCTTTTTTGGATTTCTATACAATGCTCGTTTGATTTAAATTTATTGACTACATACAAGCAGTCAGGCCCTGTATAAGAAAAGACGAAGATTTGCTATTGGAAACGTAAAGCTGCCGTTTGGTGAGAGACTAGCTAGACTAAACCTGATCACCTTGTAAACGATGATTTTATCACGATCTTTGAATCGCTGACTAACAAGTGGTCACAACCCAATCTGCCGATACATTTAAGGAAAAGACAAGTCAACGGAGGGAACTGTATAGGTAGGATAATAAGGAGATTTCAATCCTTCGTCGTTTTTAAATTCAATTTAAGTATTATAAAACTAACGGCAGAAGTATAGTACGAGATATTACCTGCACAAATTTTGATGGAGCTTCTCTTGTAAATCGATGAAACTATTGAGCCTAGACTCATCCAGCACGATGTTTCTTAATACACCAGCAACGACAAAAGGTCTAACACTTTGGGTCTGTTTTGATGAGATCATCTTGCGATTGACTTACCGACGGCAAAACATGCAACTGAATTAGATTTTGAGGTTTCTTGGTGATAAAAACCGGAGGCTTAATCCTAATGTAAATAAAGCCAATAAAAGTTGCCCTACTTTGATTCAAATATCATAAGAGCTCGAGATAAACCCTCAGGACAAAGTAAATCATAACGATTAGCAGGTATTTCAACCTTATAAACCGGCTCGATACTACACCCTCTAGACTTTTCCTTTCCCTTTTCTCTAGTAACTAGTTCTTTTTCCGTTACCTGAAACCAAGTAAACATTAGAATTCCAGCATACAACTTCGTCCAGTTCGAGACCATAACTGAAGCATAATTCTTCAAATTCTTCTTGTGCTATGAAAAAAAACGTGAGTTATTGTTTACGCGGCTATTACAATATTCCTTTTGAAGTTTGCGGAATAAAACCGATTGAGAGATAGACACGATTGGCATTATCCCAAGGTATGACCTTCACGTAGGTCACGCGGAAATATTTATATTTACCGCAGACACCGTTTATTCAAGTACCAGGTTCCAAGAGCTGGAAAAATCACATACCATAGATATTTCGTCTTTTCTACTCGTCTGTCATGTCCTCTGAGTTGTCTTGACCCGTAAAAAAAAGTACGTTAGGCTCAAATTTGTTTGGATTCTCAGAATAGCGATGCTTCCGCATCACGCTCTACTGGTTAAGCTAAACCTATTCCCGTTGTCATATCAAATGGTTCAAATGGTTCAAATGGTTGTGGACGGAATAGAAGAAGCTTTCGCTTAACAGGCTTCCGTGTCTAGTAGCAGGGGACCACCAAATCCTCCAGGCAGGAACCTAGGTATGTTAACAATAAAAGAGGAAAAGAAATTAGTAAATCATAGTGCGATGCTGTCCTTGGTCCTTAAGAATAGGTTAAGTTGCCTCTTGAAGGAATCCTGAGAAGTCGCTTGGACTAGCTCGGCCGGCAGCGAGTTCCAGCTTTTGACAACTCTTAAGGAGTAGAAGTTGTGTCTACATTCCGTCTAT